TCAGTTTTAAAAAGACTGAATTGGCCTTTTTAATAATCATTTTACCTTCATGATGATATTAACATGTCGTACGACGTATCTATATTATACGCTGAATATATAATTTGTTTTCATCGTTCGCTCACAGTAGGGAATGTTTTCAATGTTGACAATGTTGCGCGGAATCTAAACTGGACGAATGATCGTTGTCTTGCGTGATGTGACCGGCCAGGCCAAATACGTGTATTCTCAAGCAATAACATCGCAAATGTGTGTTAATTCCCCAAGAATACGCGTCGCCAACCTGACCTACGAAGAAGCTCCTCCGTCGTCTTCTTTCTTCAGGGCTCGATGGTACGGATGAGAATCGATGATACTTGAGATTGGCGCATCGTTATTGGAATAAATACACGTACGCACGCATGTTTATCGCAAAAAATGTCTAACATCAATCCGTCGTGTCTGTAATCCGCTTTGCGACCTATCTGAATATTTTTGATACTTTAGATACCAACGCGTTCCACGCAAAAGAATATGTAGTAGTAATCTAGGAATTATGCGAGGAATTATGGATGTCACAGAAAAAAGGGATTTAAGCGAACGTGTACGTGAGGTGAGGGCATTGATGCGCGATGAATGCGCGATTAAATAACTCTCGATGAAATAAATCACGAGGAAAGAGAGAGAGAGAGAGAAAGAGCGAGAGCGAGCTGTATCGCGGCGGCAGATTTTAAGCTTGGGAAGCAAAGTATTACGAGGAGGTCCGGAAGTCGGCAATAATATTCACCTCGTCTGCCGCTTGTGTATAGTATATCCGCCTGTTTTAGTATCCATTTCCTCACGGATACTTAAATTCGCGCTACGTGTGAGTAGTGCGTCATGCGATCGTACGCAATGATCTTCGAGTGTATGCGAGTTCATTCCGTGCGACTTTGCGACTTACACCCATATTCCATTAGTTTTACGCGCGAGACCCATCGAGGTTTATACGCACTGACGGAGAGGGAAAAGGAAAGTATCCGGTACCCCGAAACTGTCTTAGGTGTACGAGGCAATAAATTGAACGACACGACTCTATTATTTTATTCCTGCGCTCTTTATTACTTGCCATCCGCGAGACGCGACCCAGATTTGATCGCGATCGAGGTACTAAAGCAAAGAGAATCTTAGCCCGCCAGGTATCAGCCAACAGACGACACGTCAACTCGCTCCTGTCCGATAAACGCAGGTTTGGGAATCTGTAAAAAGCCTGTACACCTCGTCCAAGTTGCCCACGTGGTATGTAAACGCAAGAGTTTCATCTCTGACCGAAGAGCGAAACTAGGGAGTGTGGAAATGATGAAAAGAGAGACGGTGCTTAGCGGTGAATTCGACGATTAATGATTGCGTGAACGTCTGCCATCCGCGAGACGCGACCCAAATTTGATCGCGATCAAGATACTAAAGCAAAGAGAATCTTAGCCCGCCAGGTATCAGCCAACAGACGACACGTCAACTCGCTCCTGTCCGATAAACGCAGGTTTGGGAATCTGTAAAAAGCCTGTACACCTCGTCCAAGTTGCCCACGTGGTATGTAAACGCAAGAGTTTCATCTCTGACCGAAGAGCGAAACTAGGGAGTGTGGAAATGATGAAAAGAGAGACGGTGCTTAGCGGTGAATTCGACGGCGTGGGACGGTTAACCACTGCGTGAACGTCTGCCATCCGCGTATATAAAGGCAAATATGATTACTCTGTATTTGGTTCGTAAACTATATTAACCTTTGCCTATCTGAAGGAGGGAAGTGGTTCATTTCCAGAGGAGCTTGGAAATTAGTAGGTGTTACGCGTAACGGCATTAGAGCGCGATTCGTCAACTCGATTCAGTCTCTCTCTCTCTCTCTCTCTCTCTCTCTCTCTCTCTCTCTCTCTCTTTCTTAGCAATTTAGAGATCTTGCGAAACGTGCTTTATTATAGATGATGTCACGAGCGAGCGATATAATGCAACTTTAAAATCAATATTGCCACGACAATTAATAGGTTTATTCAACGAGATTCTGACTATTGACAATATTCAAAGAATGTTAGCGGAAGGAGAGAATGTCAAGGTGAGAACGTTGAGAGCAACGACCAGCGCTGCCGATTGATGCGACTGCTAGACATGAACGTTAAACGCTGATCCACGAGCGGTTGTCGCGGACCGGGAGCAGGCACTTCCCAGGGATCAGGAATATCCTAGCAGGGAGCACTCTAGCGGTTTACAGGAAAGTGATCTTAAAGGTGCTCACCCGATTGAATGGAAATAAAACGTGGACACAACTGCCAATACACTTAGGTCGGATTCGCTGTTCTTGTTGGATGCGAGGAGGAGAAGCGGAAAGCTCGACGGCGAGGTCGGAGCTCGGGGGACGGAAACAATTCCGTGATAATAAGATCCAAGTGCCGAAGAGAGCGTGTAAGGCGAAAGGCGGTAGCGAACGGCGTAATGCTAGGGTGTAATAATTGAGGAAAGAGAAAGAGAGAGAGAGAGAGAGAGAGAGAGAGAGAGAGAGAGAGAGAGAGAGAGAGAGAGAGAAAGAGAGAGAAGGTAGGCGTTTCCGCAAATGAGATGTTGCGCGCAATAACTGTATAAATCGGAAAAGTTCAACCGGGATCATATCTCTCGTGTCATATTTCTCGCGCATAATTCGAGATTGAATAAATTTCGGACTTATAAATGATTAATCAATCAAATAAACTATTAATTTTTTGCGACTAATTTAATTCCGCTAGTAATACTTTTTGTTTTTCATCAAAGGTTAAGTGTCCAGTTTTTCAGATAGTCAAAAAAGAGAATATATCACTGTGTTGAAGAAAAATTACTATTTTTCTATCCGCGTTAGAAGTTATTTACGATTCGACGGAGTTCAGGATGATGTAAAATTTGAGATCTTTCTCTCCGCGTATAAGATGTATGCGTTCAACATGTGCGCAAAAAAAGACGGCTTGAATACTAAGCGAATAAAAGGAAACAGATGACGTCGTGTCTCGCATATATAAACGAGCAGAGCGCAACGTGTTTCAGCTCGCTGCTTTTTTATCGCAATGCCTCGTACAACATATTAATTAATATATGCTTGTACGTGTGTACATGTAAAATCTAGGCACATGTTTATGTTAATAACGCAATAAAATACTGCCATTAGATGAAAAATGAAAAATTTAAAAGTTAAGGTTAAGAGAGTCCTGGAAATAATGGAAATAAAAAAATAAGATAAAACCGCGAGAGGCTTCAAAAGGCGAAGAGATCGAGGTACCGGTAAAATACATAGAACGAACAGCCGGAAGAAGGGGGTGCGCGATAGGGGTCGCAGAAAAGGATAAGGAAGGGAGGAGGGAAAGAGAGAGGGTTGAAGTAAAGGCAAACGGACGGACTGACGGACGGCAGATCCCCGACAAATGGATTAAGCGCAAATTGCTAAACTCTGTTTAATTTGGCCAAATGAATTTTGTTCCGCCGGTCCCCCCCCTCTCTTCTCTCTCTCTCTCTCTTTCTCTCTCTGTTCTTTTCCCTTCTAACCCCTTGCATCCTCTCTCATTCCCATTCCATGTTCCTCTTACTCTCTTTCTTACTCCTGCGCGATAGACGAAACTTTCAGTCGAAATCTTGTTTCCCGCCAGGTTGCAAGTCGGATTTCGAAACAGACAGACAGACATCTCTCGCCTTTTCGCGACTTTTTCGCGTTAAATGTCTCAAATGATGGAAGTGATTTTCGTCATACGTGCTATATTAAGTAATGATCATTTTATCTGTCTCTATTTATAATCCAATTACGAAATTCACATTTACATCACATTTCAATTTAGATTAGTGATCAGAAAACTAGAAAAGTTTTAGAAAATTAAAATTGTATTATGTCGATAGGAAATTAATACCGTGTGCGAATCTTTTACGAAAAATAAAAAACTATTCTTTTCAGTTGCGTTTTAATTTCTACGGAAATGAAACGCAAATTTCACGTGTGGTTCAGTCAAGAGAGCAAGTAAGAAAATTTCTCCACTCGTAAATTTCCCACGAAGAGAGAGACGTTTAACTCAAGTACACGTTTCATTTTTTCCATCGTGCAAAAAATATCCGACAAATTCGCGGAGAGGCACGAGATTACGTAATTTCCTTTATTTCTTTTAACGCTTATTCTCCGATCTTTAAAAAATTTACAGTGAAATATTTATCTGTGAATATTTCGATTGCTTACTGGGAGTTGAAATAAGCTCACGAATAACACACAGTTTTGTATATAAATCTGTCCATATGTATAAACGTGTAAAGTTCAGTTTCGCATCAAAGGCATTTCGTTACGTATGACGCGCATATACCATGTGAGAATAAATTTATAATCTCCGACCGTACGGATAATATTATTTCAATATATGTTGGAACATAATCAGAATTAATTCGCAGATATGCACGAAATAGATTCATGAATGTCAATATTAAAAGTCAAGCGAATTATAGTGTAAACGAGCATCTTTTTTTTTGTTACGTGCAAAGAAATTTTTTATCGTCACTTGGATATTAGGTGATAGCAGACAATTACTCGATCGGTTTGCCAGTTGTATATCAGCGAAGCTACTTGAATTGGTTTCTGCGCAGTATTTGCAACCTTGTTCTGGCTCATGAATCATCACGCAGTGCGTATCGCTCCGAGAATTGCTCGTTGATGACGGAGCTCAAGGCTGTTGCGTAATAGAAAAACATCGTTGTCCGCACACATTGTTACTACAGATTAGACATATAAACTTTGGACTCAAATTAAATTGATATTCATGTTCACTCATCAATTATCTTATATTTTTAATTATTTATATTGGCGTAAATAACCTCTTTTAATGATACATTCTCATCTATTATAAATGGAAATAAACGTATGCAAACGCATCTTATTTAAAACAATACGTGTATGTATATTGTACGCATATTGTTATATTATAAAATATGAAGATATTAAGTCTGACGTAAAATTCTGACATGACATCACGAGGCTGTAATGAACCATTTAGCGGGTATCTCGGTACGAGCAGTCGTGCGTGAGAATTCCAAGCGGACAGATCGCTTTGACTCGGCAGAATAATTGCACTGCACATATCGCTTATAACCTGAGGATGTCTTGTGAGCATTGACACAAACTTTCATTCCACGACGCTGATATTTGACTTTAATCCGGAGCGAAAGGAACAATCGAGTATCCCGATTAAGCTATGGAGTACTGGACGATAATCTTATCGATATTAGCCGGTATACTTGTCATTTATTATTATTCCTCATCTTGTAAACGGACGAATGACTTTCAGCAGCATGGGATTCCATATCAAAACCCACAGGTCGTAAAAAGACTGTGGCAGGTTTTCATACGTCCAAAGAGTTTTGCCGCGGTAATTCAAGAACTATACAATTTTTATCCCGACGCTAAGTATATCGGTTTCTTTAATTTCTCGCAATCGGTCGTCGTAGTGCGTGATCTCGAATTGATCAAATCTGTCGGCATTAAAAATTTTGATTCGTTTCAAGATCACATATTTTTCAGCAGCAGTGAAGATCCGCTTTTCGGGAAAAATCTACTTGCACTCCGCGGAGATCAGTGGCGAGACATTAGGACGCTTCTAAGTCCTTCTTTCACGTCCAGCAAAATGAGAGCTATGTTTCAATTGATGTCCGAGTGCGCCGTGAAATTTTCAGAGTATCTAGTTAAAGCACCGTCTGACAAACGAATTATGGAAATGAGGAACATCTTCTCGAGATACACTACCGACGTGATCGCCACGTGTGCCTTTGGCATTAGCGTGGATTCGATGAGAGACCCGGACAACGATTTCTACACGTTTGGAGCAAAAGCGGCGAATTTTAATACGATCATTCTTATAAAGATTCTGCTGTACCAACACATGCCGTGGCTCATGCGTCTGTTAAAACTTAAAATTGTAAGCGAACGTACCAACACATTCTTTATCAATTTGATAGCCGATACTATAAAAACCAGAGACGAGAGAAATATCATTCGGCCGGACATGCTCCAGCTGATGATGGATAGCAGAGGGAAAAGAGAGGGGAAAGAACTAAGCATTCTGGACATGACATCGCAGGCGTTCATCTTTTTCCTCGGTGGCTTCGACAGTACCTCGACCTTGATGAGTTTCTTAGCATACGAGATTGCCGTCAATCCACACATCCAGAAGAAATTGCAAAATGAAATCGATAAGATTCTGGAAGATGCAAACGGTCAGCCATCCTATGAGGCAATCAACGGGATGGTGTATCTAAATGCTACGATTAACGAGACTCTCAGAATGTATCCGGTGCAAGCGATGACGGATAGGCTGTGCACGAAAGACTTTGAATTGCCGCCCACATTGCCGGGTGCGAAATCATATGTTGTGAAAGCGGGAACGCTAATCTGGATCCTTTTTTACGGCCTTCAGCATGATCCCAAATACTTTCCGGAACCGGAAAAATTCAGGCCTGAGAGATTCCTGGATGAAAACAGAGAGAACGAGTGCAATCTCAATGCTTATTATCCATTCGGAATAGGCCCGAGAATGTGTATCGGCAACAGATTCGCCTTGCTGGAGACGAAGATTATGCTGTTTCATCTGCTGGCTCGTTGTGATCTGAAGCCATGTGAAAAAACTACGATACCGTTAAAATTTCAAAAAGGTGGATTCTCGATGCGGGCCGAAGGCGGTTTCTGGTTGAGCGTTGTGCCGAGAGAGAATCAGTGTTCTACATAAGATAAATTAAACGCTTCATCTGTAAGATAATCATTTTTACTGATACATAAATATTAAAAATCTACGAAAATAGTCACGAGCATATTTTATATCACAGCAATAAATAATATATTACATACGTATAAATTTATAAAAATGTAAAAATAATAGAGAAATATAATGGAAATAGAAAATGACGATATTTTACGGCATTATAATTTTGCAAATCATTGTAATGTCGCAGTAGCTCAATTAAAAAAAAATCTTTTATTTGCTTTATCATTATGATTAATGTGTTTAAGATTATCGGAATAATCATTCTACAAGCAATCGTTGCCTTTTTTCTTCTTGTCATCTTTTTAATGAATAACTGTTAATCGGAGTGAATCACGTTAACCTTAACAATGTGCAAAGAGCAAAAATATATTTAAAAATGTGAAAAATAAGATAAATCAATCCAATATGTTTTATCTCAATTTTATCAAATTGATAACATGACGGAGATACTATGATATTGTCGAAATGTTGTTAACTTCTAATGCGTAAGTAATAATGTTACGTGATCATACATATAAGAAGGATATTTCCGATGCAGCAGCAGTCGTTCACCGAATCTCGATACGTAAAGTTGCCTTCGTGCACCATCTTTGTTATTAATTGCATCAGAAAAAAAAGAATGTTTAAAATAAAGTGCAAAAGTTGATTTATATTTAGTATTACGTAATATAAGTATATTTAGTGTTTAATACAGCAATTTCTTTTTTCAACATGTTATACATAATCATTTTGACGGTAATAGCGGGCGCTCTAGGTCTCTATTACATTTTTAAAGATTTGAACTTTTTCAAGAAACATAACATACCGTGTAGAACGCCTTTACCATTATTTGGAAATACGATCAAATTGTACTTTCGTCGAGAAACGATACTTGATTATGTCAATAATATTTACAAGTTACATTCCGAAGCCAAATATGTCGGCTTGTTTGATAAGACAAATCCAATTATAGTGATTCGCGATCTCGAACTTATTAAATCTATCGGGCTGAAAAATTTCGACTTATTCCCAGATCATAGCAGTTTCATCGACGAAGATCAAGATCCGTTATTCGGCAAAAATCTGTTTGCTCTCAAAGGGGAGAGATGGCGGCAAGTACGACCTTTACTAAGTCCAGCTTTTACATCTAGCAAAATGAAAAATATGTTTATACTAATGTCGGAGTGCGCCGTCAAATTTAGCAATTACTTGGTGCAAATGCCAGCAGAGAAGAAAATAATGGATATAAAAGAGGCATTTACGAGATACACAAATGACATAATAGCTACTTGCGCTTTTGGCATTAGTGTCGATTCTATGAGAAATCCGAACAACGAATTTTACATTTACGGCAGGGAGGCGACTGCTTTCGACAGAGTCGCCGTACTAAAATTATACTTATATAGAAGCTTGCCTTGGGTGGCAAAAATTCTTAAAATAAGAATCATTCGCCAAAAAATAGCGGATTTCTTTCGAGATCTCGTAGAGACCACCATAAAAACTAGGGATGAAAATGGTATCGTTCGTCCAGACATGCTACAATTGATGATGGAGACTAGAGGGAAGGAAGGTAAAGCAGAACTGTCTATCGAAGACATGGTATCTCATGCATTCGGTTTCTTTTTTGGTGGTTTCGAGAGCACATCGACGTTAATGTGCTTTGCCGCTCACGAAATTGCGGTGAATCAAGACGTACAAAAAAAACTTCAAGATGAGATTGATCAAGTTTTGGAGGATTCAAATGGTAAAGCACCATACGAAATAGTTAATAACATGGAATATATGGATGCCGTAATTAATGAAGCTCTCAGAAGATATCCGGTTGCGGCAGCATTAGACAGAGTATGCGTGAAAGATTTCGAATTACCGCCGACATTACCAGGGATAAAGCCTTTTACTACAAGAAAAGGACAAGTCATATGGATACCGGTTTATGGACTTCATCATGATCCTCAGTATTTTGAAAACCCGGAAAAGTTCGATCCCGAACGATTTATTGGTGAGCGAAAAAAAGAGAGTCTCAATTGCGGAGCCTATCTTCCGTTCGGATTGGGTCCCAGAATGTGCATAGGTAATAGATTCGCTATAATGGAAACGAAAGTTTTGCTGTTTCATCTATTGGCACGTTGCGATTTGAAAACTTGCGAGAAAACACGGTTACCGCTCAAGATCGCTAAGGGCGGCATCAATATGATACCCGAAGGTGGCTTCTGGTTGAATATATCACCAAGAAAAAATATTCATCACAGTATTGCTACCAATGCTGTCAATGGGACACGTCAGCTGTAAGAAAATTTTATCTATAGTTTTCAATTCATCTTAAAAATTTAAATGAATAACTTTACAATATAAAAAAACATTTCCTGCTATTTTGTTAATTGGGATAACTATAATATTAGTTAAAAAAAATTTATTTATTACTTTTTTGAAATATATCGTTTTTAAAATATATATATATATATATATTTTTTTTTTATATATTTTTTATATATATATTTTATATATTTTATATATATATATATTTTATATATATATATATATATATATATATATATATATATAATTAACAATCTCGAGATGTAAAATTTAGGTATTCAAATATATTTTTGAATATAAATAATTTAATATTGATATTATAAAATAATAAAATGGAGATATCATAGATTTTACAGATATAATAGATTTCTCGAGAAGATAATCAATTTTCTTAAGATAACTTTAGAGATTTAATTATTATATAATGTAAAATAATTTTCATATGTATAAAAATAAAAAGATTTTAGAAGTAATTCTGTACATTTTTAATTAATTTTTAGATGAAATGGAAAGAATACCGAAATCGTAATGAAACATAAAGGATATGCCGACCTTATTTATAAAAAAAGAAGACTCATGTTGCTGCTAATTTATAAAATAATATTATATACTTGCATTAGAAATATTTTTGATATGCTAAAAGCAGAATTATTTCTATTTCTTATTGCTGAAAAGGGAAGAGCAAACATAAAAGGTAAATGCCTAAGATGAATGCCTAAAGGACAATACTTTTTATCTTGTACCTGTGTAGTAAGAATCATTTTTTACAGATATTGGCGTGATTATCACCGTCATATTAATTATCTACATATTTTCAAAATATTCTGTTATATTATAAGCCAATTTTTTTCGCAATTTGTTATATATTATATATTAAAATAAAAATATTTTATACAGACAAGTATTATTAAAAATAGCTAAAATTAATGGCTATTTAACGTATACAATGTGATCAAAATATCTTACTATATATACTATATAAAAAATATCTATTTTATCTAGTCTGTTTACTTATTTTTATTTTATGTTTATAATATCGATATAGAAATATCTGTATCATTTATAAGCTTTTTGAATAATTTGAGAAAATGTGATTCTCTTCTAACATTAATTTGTAATACGCTTGTACTTCATATATTAATACATGCTGAAAACAAAATTATTGTTGTATTGCTATGAAAATGATAAAAAAGGGAAAAATTAAAGATACGAGGAAAGAAATATGAAAATAATTAAAGATCGTTTGTTTATCGGTTTTTTTCTCGTGATTATTAATGAACTTGTAATTATAATGCAATTGATGCTTTCTTCTAATATACTAGTAAACATTTACAATCATGCATTTTATCATTACTATATGAATAAAGACATGCATTTTTTCACTACGTTGAATTTGATGAAGCTAGGTAGCTAAGCAGTAAGCTAACTTTTTGTAATTTATTATATTAGAATTAAGAGAAATATATAATACAAATGAATTAATTAAAATAGTGACGATTAATAACTATATTACTATGATGAAAAATAAGAACTATGTATTATTACATATGTGCAAAAATTAGTTGGATAAAATTGACATGAAACGGGAAACTACAAAATAACGCGATGTAGTATATAATTTATACCTTATATTATTACATATTTTTTCTATTATTATGTAGAATATTAAATAATACGATTCATAATGTAAACATTTTTTTAAACTGTATATAAATTGTGAAATATATTTATAATGTTGAATATAATATATATGTATGTCTTATATTATAAACTACATGACATATATACACGTTTGTAAATCTAATCTGCCCGATTACATCCCATAAACATACTAAAATAGTCCCACTTATTTCAAATTGTGTAGCAGATTCCTCCGCATGATAGATATAAAGGAAGAAAACGTGAAGGATAGATAAAGAGAAGAAGAGAGGAAGATTTGACCATTGTAATGTAGAAGCTATCAATGTTTCAAGAAATATTGAGTAGATATCAAATGAAAAATAATCCATAAATAAATCCATAAATAAAAAGTGATTCAATAAATCTCGAGACTTTTTACACATAATATATACTACAATATATACATAATTTGATATTAGAAGTTTACATTTTATGTACAGTTTTTTTTTCAAAAGAAAACTATTATTATATATATGTGTTTCATTTAACTCTTATATCAAATAACTCCAACTATGATGTTTGAAATAATTTCTGAAAAAAACATATAATTATTTTTACATCAATTGATTTCTCACATTATTTTGTGTATAAAAGTATCGATTTCTCACATTATTTTGTGTATAAAAGTATCGAGATAAGATAATCGAAAAATGAATATTTTATTAGATATTTTACGGTTTATGTAAAATTAGGAAATCATTCCAAGCATCATAAATCGAAAAGTACTCAAAGAAAAAATACTTTATTATAGAGTTTTGAAAAGCTCTCGACGTAAGCTACAAGAATACGTAATGAAAAATAGGAGTTTCCATTAAAAAATTTTTAGGTGATCTTCATGTGACTTTCAACAGACTGTTCAAGGGTTAAATGATTATTGCCATCTTATGTCGCCCTTCTCTCTATTCATACAACATCTTTATTTTCCATTTTTTTGTGCATGTAAAAATAACGGAGTTATTTGAAGTGTAAGAGTTAAATGAAACAACTTGTATATATGTATGAATGAATGTATGTATGTGTATATTGTATACATATTGTACATTATAAAATATGAAGATCTGAAGTCTGACGTCAAATTCTTACATAACATCACGAAGCTACAGTGTAGCATTTATCTCTCAGCGGATATTTCGAGCAGTCGTGCGCGAGAATTCCAAGCGGTCAGATCGCTTTGACTCGGCAGAATAATCGCACTGCACATATCGCATTGGCTTATAACCTGAGGGCGTCTCGTATAATTGTGAGCATTGACATTAACACAACTTTCATTCCACAACACTGATATTTGACTTTAATCCGGAGTGAAAAGAACAATCGAGTATCCCGATTAAGCTATGGAGTACTGGACGATAATTTTATCGATATTAATCGGTATACTTGTCATTTATTATTATTCCTCATCTGGTAAACGGTCGAACGACTTTCAGCAGCATGGAATTCCATATCAAAAGCCGCCGATCGTAAAAATTCTTTGGCAGCTTTTCGTACATCCAAAGAGTTTTGCAGCGGCAATTCAAGAACTATACAATTTTTATCCCGACGCTAAGTATACCGGTCTCTTTAATTTCTCGCAATTGGTTGTCGTGATGCGTGACCTCGAATTAATCAAATCTATCGGCATCAAAAATTTTGATTCGTTTCAAGATCACATATTTTTCAGCAGCAGTAAAGATCCGCTTTTCATGAAAAATCTGATTGCACTTCGCGGAGATCAGTGGCGAGACATTAGGACGCTTCTGAGTCCTTCTTTCACGTCTAGCAAAATGAGAGCTATGTTTCAATTGATGTCTGAGTGCGCCGTGAACTTTTCAGAGTATCTAGTTAAAGCGCCGACTGACAAACGGATTGTAGAAATGAGGGACATCTTCACGAGATACACTACCGACGTGATCGCCACGTGTGCCTTTGGCATTAGCGTGGATTCGATGAGAGACCCGGACAACGATTTCTATATGTTTGGCGCAAAAACGATGAATTTTAACACGATCGCTCTTATAAAAATTTTGCTGTCCCAACACATGCCGTGGCTCACGCGTTTGTTAAATCTTAAAATGATAAACGAACGTACCAATGCATTCTTCATAAATTTAATAGCTGATACTATAAAGACCAGAGACGAGAGAAATATTATTCGGCCGGATATGCTCCAGCTGATGATGGATAGCAGAGGGAAAAGAGAACCTGGGAAGGAACTCACCATTGTGGACATGACATCGCAGGCGTTCATCTTTTTCCTCGGTGGCTTCGACAGTACCTCGACCTTGATGAGTTTTTCAGCATACGAAATTGCCGTCAATCCACACATCCAGAAGAAATTGCAAAATGAAATCGATAAGATTCTGAAAGATACAAACGGTCAGCCATCCTATGAGGCAATCAATGGGATGGTGTATCTAAATGCTACGATTAACGAGACTCTCAGAATGCATCCGGCGCAAGCGATGACGGATAGGCTGTGCACGAAAGATTTTGAATTGCCGCCCACGTTGCCAGGTGCGAAACCATATATTGTGAAAGCGGGAACAGTAATCTGGATCCTTTTTTACGGACTTCAGCATGATCCCAAATACTTTCCGGAACCGGAAAAATTCAGGCCTGAGAGATTCCTGGCTGAAAACAGAGAGAACGAGTGCAATCTCAATGCTTATTATCCATTCGGATTAGGCCCGAGAATGTGCATTGGCAACAGATTCGCCTTGCTGGAGACGAAGGTTATGTTGTTTCATCTGCTGGCTCGTTGTGACCTAAAGCCGTGTAAAAAAACTTCGATACCGTTAAAATTAAAAAAGGGTGGATTCTCGATGGGGGCCGAAGGCGGTTTCTGGTTGAGCGTTGTGCCGAGAGAGAATCGGTATTCTACATAAATTAAGCGCTCCATCTGTAAGATAATCATTCTTACTGATACATAAATATTAAAAATCTACGAAAATAGCCACGGGTATATTTTATATCATAGCAATAAATAATGTATTATATACGTACAAAATTATAAGGATGTAAAAATAATAGAGAAATGTAATAGAAATGAAAGGTAACGAGATTACACGGCATTATAATTTTGCAAATCATTGTAATGTCGCAGTAGTTTCAATTATACAAAAATTTTTTATTCGCTCTATCATTAATTATTAATGTATTCAAGATTAATGGAATAGCCACTCTAACAAGCAATTGTCAACTTTCTATTATAGAATAACTGTTGCTCGAGGTAAATTATGTTAAATATTAACAATGTGCAAAAAGCACAAATATGTTTAAAAATATGAAAGCTAATACATAAAGTCAATCCAATATATTTTATCTTAATTTTATCAAATTGATAACACGTTGAAGATACTATTAAATTGTCGAGAAGTTGTTGCTAACTTCTATTACGTAAGCAATAATATCACGTGACCATACATATAAGAAGGATCAATCCGATGCAGCAGCAGTCGTTCGTCGAATCTCGACGCGTAAAGTTGTCTTCGTGCACCATCTTTGCTATTAATTGCATGAGAAGAAAAAGAATATTTCGAATAAAGTGTAAAAGTTGATTTATATTTAGCACTATGTAATATGTGTATATTTAGTGTTTAATACAGCAATTTCTCTTTTCAACATGTTATACATAATCATTTTGACGGTAATAGCGGGCGCTCTAGGTCTCTATTACATTTTTAAAGATTTGAACTTTTTCAAGAAACATAACATACCGTGTAGAACGCCTTTACCATTATTTGGAAATACGATCAAATTGTTCTTTCGTCGAGAAACGATACTTGATTATATCAATAATATTTACAAGTTACATCCCGATGCCAAATATGTCGGCATGTTTGAAATGACAATTCCAATTCTAGTACTTCGAGATCCCGAACTTATTAAATCTATCGCGTCAAAAAACTTTGATCTGTTTCCGCATCATCGCAGTTTCGTCGAGGAAGATCAAGATCCGTTATTCGGCAATATTCTGTTTTCCCTCAAAGGGGAGAAGTGGCGACAAGTACGGTCTTTACTGAGTCCAGCTTTTACATCTAGCAAAATGAAAAGTATGTTTATACTGATGTCGGATTGCGCCGTAAAATTTAGCAATTATTTGGCACAACTGCCAGCAGAGAAGAAGATAACGGATATAAAAGATTCATTTACGAGATACACAAATGACATAATAGCTACTTGCGCTTTTGGTATTAGTGTCGATTCTATGAGAAATCCGAACAACGAATTCTACATTTACGGCAGGGAGGCGACTACTTTTGGCACTGTCGTCGTACTAAAATTCTACTTATTTAGAATCTTGCCTTGGGTGACAAAAATACTTAAAATAAGATTGGTTCGCCAAAAAATAGCGGATTTCTTTCGAGATCTCGTAGAGACCACCATAAAAACCAGGGATGAAAATGGTATCGTTCGTCCAGACATGCTACAATTGATGATGGAGACTAGAGGGAAGAAAGGCAATGCAGAACTGTCTATCGAAGATATGGTATCTCAAGCATTCAGTTTCTTTTTTGGTGGTTTCGAGAGCACTTCGACGTTAATGTGCTTTGCCGCTCACGAAATTGCGGTGAATCAAGACGTACAAAAAAAACTTCAAGATGAGATTGATCAAGTTTTGGAAGAGGCAAATGGAAAAGCACCATATGAAATAGTTAATAACATGGAATATATGGATGCCGTGATTAATGAATCTCTCAGAAGATATCCAGTTGCGGCAATATTAGACAGAGTATGCGTGAAGGATTTTGAATTACCACCGACATTGCCAGGAATAAAGCCTTTTACTATAAGAAAAGAACAAGGCATATGGATACCAGTTTATGGACTTCATCATGATCCTCAGTATTTTGAAAATCCGGAAATGTTTGATCCTGAACGATTTATTGGTGAGCGGAAAAAAGAGAGCCTCAATTGCGGAGCTTATGTCCCATTCGGGCTGGGTCCAAGAATGTGTATTGGTAATAGATTCGCTATAATGGAAACGAAAGTTTTGCTGTTTCATCTATTGGCACGTTGCGATTTGAAAACTTGCGAGAAAACACGGTTACCGCTCAAGATCGCTAAGGACGGCTTCAATTTGAAACCCGAAGGTGGCTTCTGGTTGAATATATCACCAAGGAAAAATATTCATCATAGTATTGCTACCAATGCTGTCAATGGGACATGTCAACTGTAAGAAAATTTCATCAATACTTTTCATTTCATCTTGAAAATTTAAATGAATAACTTTTTAATATAAAAAAGTATTTCTTGTTAATCAGGATAATTGTGATATTAATTAAAAAAATTTATTTGCTACTTTTTAAAAATTTTTGTTTTTATAAAATATATATAAGTGATTTGCAATCTTAAAATATAATAGTTATGTATTTGAATATATTTCTGAATTGTATTTATTTCTGTTTGAATATATTATAAATATTTTAATATTGATATTATGAAGTAAAAACAGTCTAAAATAGAGATATATTAAACATTGATAAAATAATCATGAATATTCTTAAAATATTCTTATAATAATTTAATAATGGTATTATATATAAAATAAAATAATTTTAATAGATATACGAATAAAAAGATTTTAGATGTATCTCTATACATTTTTAATCAATTTTCAGGTAAAATGGAGAGAACACCAATATCGTAATGGACATAAAGGACTTGTCTTCCTTATTTATGAAATAAGAAAAAGCATGTTGCTGCAAATTTGGAAAAAAATATTATATTATTGTATTATAAATATTTTTGATATCCTAAAAACAGAATTATTTCTATTTTTAATTGCTAAAAAAAGGAGAGCGATCATAAAAAGATGAATGCTTAAAAAAAAACGAACGCTACTGTTTATCTTGCACCATAATTATATATCAATTTGTGTAATGAGAATCATTTTTTACAGACATTGGCGTGATTATTACTGTCATAATAATGATCATGTTTTCAGAATATTTTGTTATATTGTAAACAATTTCTTTTCGCAATTTATTATATATGATATATTAAAATAGAAAATTTTATACAGACAGATATTATTAAAAATAGTTGAAATTAATAGTTATTTAACATACACAATATGATCAAAATGTGTCGTTACTATATATACTATATAAAAGATATCTATTTTACTTATTTAGTCTATTTACTTATTTCTATTTATAATATCGATAAAGATCTTATCGATATCATTTATAAGCTTTTTGATTAATTTGAGAAAACTTGATTCTCTTATAATATTAATTTTGTAATACTCTTGTATTTCATATTAATACATGTTAAAAACAAAATTGTTGTTGTATTGCTAAGAAAATGATAAAAAGGGGGGAGAATTAAAGATCCAAGGAAAGAAAATAATTAAAGATCAGGTGGTTATCGGTTTCTTCTCGTATTGTGTAATCATCGATGAACTTGTAATTGTAATGCAAATGATTCTTTCTTCTAATATACTAGTTTACAATAATGCATTTCATCATTACTATCTGAATAAAGACATGCATTTTTTCACTACGTTGAATTTGAAGCTGATAAGCTAATTTTTTGTGTTTTATTATATTAGAATTAACAGAAATATATGATACAAATGAATTAATTAAATTAGTGACGATTAAGGACTATATTACTATGATGAAAAATAAGAACTATGTATTATTATGTAGAAATATTAGATGGATAAATTTGACACGAAACGCGAAACAAACGATCTAACAAAATAACGCGATATAGTATGTTATTTAGATGTTACATTATAGTACGATATAGTATGTTACATTATATTATTATATATTTTTTCTATTATTATGTAGAATTTTAAATAATACGATTCATGATGTAAAATTTTTTTAAGCTACATATAAATTGCAAAATATATTTATAATGTCAATTATAATGTATATGTATGTATGTCTTATATTATAAACTACATAAAATACATACACGATTGTAAATCTACTCTGCCCGATTACATCCTATCAACATTCGAAAATAGTCGCTCTTATTTCGAACTACGTAGCAAATTCCTCCGCATGATAGATATAGAAGAGAGAAGGAGTGAAGGATAAATAAAGAGAAAAAAAGAGGAAAAGTTTATTATTGTAGAAGCTATCAATCCTCAATGTTTCAAGAAATATTGAATAGAAATCAAATGAAAAATAACTTATAAATAAAAAGTGATTCAGTAAATCTGAAGACTTTTTATATATAATATACCACAATATATACATAATTCTATATTTGAAATCTACATTTTATGTACAACTTTTTTCTAAAGAAAAACTTTATTATATGTGTTTCATTTAACTCTCACACTTCAACTCCGTTATATTTTTACATATGCAAAAAAATAAGTAAAAAAAGAAGTTATATGAATGAAAGGGGGGACATAAGATGGTGACAATTATTTGACTTTGAATAGTTTTTTTTAAATGAAATCCCAATTTTTATTGCATATTCTTGTAGCTTACCTAGAGAACTTTTCAAAACACTGTAATAAAATATTTTTTCATTCAGTACTTATCGAATTTAGAGGTTTGAACTAATTTCTAAAAAAAATACATAGTTATTTTTACACTAATTAATTCCTCTCATTTTTTTATGCATAAAAGTATCGAGAAAAGATGACCGAAAAATGAATATTTTACTAGATATTTTATGATTTATGTAAAATTAAGAAATTATTTCGAGCATCATAACTCGAAAAGTACTCAATGAAAAAATATTTTATTATAGTGCTTTGAAAAGCTTTCTTGGTAAGCTACAAGAATACGCAATATTGAAAAATGAGGGTTTTCATTTAAGAATTTGGAGGTCATCTTCATGTGATTTTCAAAAAACTGTTCAAAATAAAATAATTGTCGCCATCTTATGTCTCCCTTCCATTCATACAACTTCTTTATTTATCATTTTTTGTGTATGTAAAAATAACGGAGTTATTTAAGGTGTAAGAGTTAAATGAAACACCCTGCATATGTATGTATGTATGTATATGTATATTGTACACATATTATTAATTATACATTATCAGTACATTATCAAATATGAAGATATAAAATATGACGTAAAATTGCATGACATCACGAAGCTACAATGAAGCATTTATCTCTCAGCGGATATCTCGGTACGAGCAGTCATGCGCGAGAATTCCAAGCGGACAGATCGCTTTGACTCGGCAGAATAATCGCACTGCACATATCGCATTGGCTTATAACCTGAGGACGTATGTAATCGTGAGCATCGATATTGACACAAACTTTCATTCTACGACACATGATATTTGACTTTAATTCGGGACGAAAAGAACAATCGAGTATCTCGATTAAGCTATGGAGTACTGGACGATAATCTTATCGATATTAGCCGGTACACTTGTCATTTATTATTATTTTTCATCTTGTAAACGGTCCAACGATTTGGAGCAGCATGGAATTCCATATATAAGGCCGCAGTTCGTGCAAACTCTTTGGCAGCTTTTCGTACGTCCAAAGAGTTTTGCCACGTCAATTCAAGAACTATACAATTTTTATCCCGATGCTAAGTATACCGGTCTCTTTAATTTCTCGAAACTGGTCGTCGTGATGCGTGATCTCGAATTGATCAAGTCTATCGGCATTAAAAATTTCGATTCGTTTCAAGATCACTTATTTTTCGGCAGCGAATCGACCAATCGAGATCCGCTTTTCGGGAAAAATCTGGTTGCACTTCGCGGAGATCAGTGGCGAGACATTAGGACGCTTCTAAGTCCTTCTTTCACGTCTAGCAAAATGAGAGCTATGTTTCAATTGATGTCCGAGTGCGCCGTGAACTTTTCAGAATATCTAATTAAAGCGCCGACTGACAAGCAAATTGTAGAAATGAGGGACATCTTCACGAGATACACTACCGACGTGATCGCCACGTGTGCCTTTGGCATTAGCGTGGATTCGATGAAAGACCCGGACAACGATTTCTACACGTTTGGCGCAAAAGTAACAAATTTTGACACGATCGCTCTTATAAAAATTTTGCTGTCCCAACACATGCCGTGGCTCATGCGTCTGTTAAATCTTAAAATGATAAACGAATGTACCAACGCATTCTTTATAAATTTGATAGCTGATACTATAAAGATCAGAGACGAGAAAAATATTATTCGGCCGGACATGATCCAGCTGATGATGGATAGTAGAGGGAAAAGAGAGGGGAAGGAACTAACCATTGTAGACATGACATCGCAGGCGTTCATCTTTCTCCTCGGTGGTTTCGACAGTAGCTCGACTCTGATGAGTTTCTTAGCATACGAGATTGCTGTCAACCCACACATCCAAGAGAAACTGCAAAATGAAATTGATAAGGTTCTGGAAGATACAAACGGTCAGCTATCCTATGAGGCAATCAACGAGATGGTATATCTGAATGCTACTATTAACGAGACTCTTAGAATGCATCCGGTGCAAGCACTCACGGATAGGCTGTGCACGAAAGACTTTGAATTGCCGCCCACATTGCCAGGTGCGAAACCATATGTTGTGAAAGCGGGAACGCAAATCTGGATCCCTTTTTACGGCCTTCAGCATGATCCCAAATACTTTCCGGAACCGGAAAAATTCAGGCCTGAGAGATTCTTGGATGAAAACAGAGAGAACAAGTGCAATCTTAATGCTTATTATCCATTCGGATTAGGCCCAAGAATGTGCATCGGCAACAGATTCGCTTTGCTGGAGACAAAGGTAATGCTGTTTCATCTGCTGGCTCGTTGTGACTTGAAGCCGTGTGAAAAAACTCCGATGCCGTTAAAATTACAAAAAGGTGGATTCGCAATGCGAGCCGAAGGCGGTTTCTGGATGAGCGTTGTGCCGAGAGAGAATCAGTATTCTATGTAATATTAATTAAATATTTCATTTGTAAGATAATCATTTTTACTGATACATAAATATTAAAAATCTAGGAAAATAACTACGATCATATTTTATATCATAGCAATAAATAATATATTATATACAAATTTATAAAGATCTAAAAATAATAAAGAAATTTAATAGAAATGAAAGATGACGAGATTATAGGGCATTATAATTTTGCAGATCATTGTAATGTCGCAGTCTTGATTATAAAAAAAATCTTTTATTTGCCTTATTATTATGATTAATGTGTTTAAGATTATCGGAATAATCTTCTACAAGCATTGTTGTCTTTTTTCTTCTTGTTATCTTTTTAATGACTATTAATCGGAGATTCACGTTAGCCTTAACAATGTGCAAAAAGCAAAAATATATTTAAAAATGTGAAAGATAATATAAGTCAATGCAATATATTTTATCTTAATTTTATCAAATTGATAACGCGATGAAGATACTATTAAATTGTCGAGATGTTGTTGTTAACATCTATTGCGTAAGCAATAATGACACGTGATCATACATATAAGAAGGATCATTCCGATGCAGCAGCAGTCGTTCGTCGAATCTCGACGCGTAAAGTTGTCTTCGTGTACCATCTTTGCTATTGATTGCATAAAAAAAAAGAATATTTGGAATAAAATGCAAAAGTTGATTTATATTTAATACTACGTAATATATGTATATTTAGTGATAAATGCAGCAATTTGTTTTTTCATCATGTTATACATAATCATTTTGACTGTAATAGCGTGCGCTCTAGGTCTCTATTACATTTTTAAAGATTTGGACTTTTTCAAGAAACATAAGATACCGTGTAGAACACCTTTTCCATTATTTGGAAATACGATAGAATTGTTCTTACGTCGAGAAACGGTACTTGATTTTGTCAATAATATTTATAAGTTACATCCGGAAGCCAAATATGTCGGCATGTTTGATATGACAAGTCCAATTGTAGTACTTCGGGATCCCGAACTTATTAAATCTATCGCGTTAAAAAATTTTGAAATGTTTCCGCATCATCGCAGTTTCATCGAGGAAGATCAAGATCCATTATTCGGCAAAAATCTGTTTGCTCTCAAAGGGGAGAGATGGCGACAAGTACGACCTTTACTGAGTCCAGCTTTTACATCTAGCAAAATGAAAAGTATGTTTATACTGATGTCGGATTGCGCCGTCAAATTTAGCAATTATTTGGTGCAAATGCCAGCAGAAAAGAAGATAATGGATATAAAAGAGGCATTTACGAGATACACAAATGACATAATAGCTACTTGCGCTTTTGGTATCAGCGTCGATTCTATGAGAAACCCGAACAACGAATTCTACGTTTACGGCAGGGAGGCGACTACTTTCGGCACTGTCGCCGTACTAAAATTCTACTTATTTAGAAGCTTGCCTTGGGTGGCAAAAATACTTAAAATAAGAATGGTTCGTCAAAAAATAGCAGATTTTTTTCAAGATCTCGTAGAGACCACCATAAAAACTAGGGATGAAAATGGTATCGTTCGCCCAGACATGCTGCAACTGATGATGGAATCTAGAGGTAAGGAGAGCAAAGCAGAATTGTCTATCGAAGATATGGTATCTCAAGCATTCATTTTCTTTTTTGGTGGTTTCGAGAGCACATCGACGTTAATGTGCTTTGCCGCTCACGAAATTGCGGTGAATCAAGACGTACAAAAGAAACTTCAAGATGAAATTGATCAAGTTTTGGAAGAATCAAATGGAAAAGCACCCTACGAAATAGTTAATAACATGGAATATATGGATGCCGTAATTAATGAAGCTCTCAGAAGATATCCGGTTGCACCAGCATTAGACAGAGTATGCGTGAAGGATTTTGAATTACCACCGACATTGCCAGGAATAAAGCCTTTTACTATAAGAAAAGAACAAGGCATATGGATACCAGTTTATGGACTTCATCATGATCCTCAGTATTTTGAAAATCCGGAAATGTTTGATCCTGAACGATTTATTGGTGAGCGGAAAAAAGAGAGCCTCAATTGCGGAGCTTATGTCCCATTCGGGCTGGGTCCAAGAATGTGTATTGGTAATAGATTCGCTATAATGGAAACGAAAGTTTTGCTGTTTCATCTATTGTCACGTTGCGATTTGAAAACTTGCGAGAAAACACGGTTACCGCTCAAGATCGCTAAAGATGGCTTCAATGTGAAACCCGAAGGTGGCTTCTGGTTGAATATATCACCAAGGAAAAATATTCATCACAGTATTGCTACTAATGCTGTCAATGGGACACGTCGACTGTAAGAAAATTTCATGTATACTTTTCATTTCATCTTGAAAATTTAAATGAATAACTTTTCAATATAAAATAGTATTTCTTGTTAATCAGGATAATTGTCATTGTATTAATTAAAAATATTTATTTGTTACTTTTTAAAAATTTTTGTTTTTATGATGTATATATATAAGTGATTTGGAATCTTAAGGTATAAAAATTAGGTATTTGAATATATTTCTGAATTGTATTTATTTCTGATTGAATATATTATAAATATTTTAATATTGATATTATGAAATAAAACGGTCTAAAATAGAGATATATCAAACATTTGTAATCATCAATATTCTTAAAATAATCTTAAAATAATTTAATAGTGATATTATATATAAAATAAAATAATTTTAATAGATATACGAATAAAAAGATTTTAGATGTATCTCTATACATTTTTAATCAATTTTCAGGTAAAATGGAGAAAACACCAATATCGTAATGGACATAAAGGACTTGTCTTCTTTAGAAGAAGAAGCATGTTGCTGCAATTTTGGAAAAAAATATTATATTATTGTATTAGAAATATTTTTGATATCCTAAAAAACAGAATTATTTATATTTCTAATTGCTAAAAAAGGAGAGCGAGCATAAAAAGATAAATGCTTAAAAAAAACGAACGCTTTTTTTTATCTTGCATCATAATTATATATCAATGTATAATGAGAATCATTTTTTACAGATGGACGTCATTATTACTGTCATAATTAACTACATGTTTTTAGAATACTCTGTTATATTATAAACAAATTTTTTTCGCAATTTGTTATATATTATACATTAAAATAAAGATATTTTATACAGACAAGTGTTATTAAAAATAACTAAAATTAATGGCTAATTAGCATAGTATGATTGAAATATATTATTACTATACATATATAAAAAATATCTATTTTATTTATTTAGTCTATTTACTTATTTTTATTTATAAAATCGATAATGATATATCTTTATCATTTATAAGCTTTTTGATTAATTGAGAAAATTTTATTCTCTTATAATATTATTTTTGTAATACTGTTGTACTTTATATTAATACATGTTGAAAACAAAATTGTTGTTGTATTGCTAAGAAAATGATAAAAAAAGGGAAGAATTAAAGATTCAAGGAAAGAAATATGAAAATAATTAAAGATCAGGTACTGTTTTTTCTCATATTCTGATCATCGATGAACTTGTAATTATAATGCAAATGAAGCTTTTTTCTTATATACTAGTATACATTTATAATAGTGCATTGTATTACTACTATCTTAATAAGCACATGCATTTATTCACTACGTTGAATTTGATGAAGCTAGTAATCTAATTATTTTTGTAGTTTATTATGTTAGAATTAAGAGAGATATATGATACAAGTAAAAGAATTAATTAAAGTAGTGAAAATTAATAATTAATAATTTAATTCATCATAGTAATAAATATATTACTATGATGAAAAATAAGAACTAAGTGGGAGTATTATTACATATGTAAAAATATTAGATGGATAAATTTGGCATAAAAAAATAACCCGATATAGTATATTATTTGTACATTATATTACTATATATTTTTTCTATTATTATGTAGAATATTATATAATACGATTCATAATGTAAAAATGTTTTTAAACTACATATAAATTGCGAAATATATTTATAATGTTAATTTTAATGTACATATATCTCATATTATAAACTATATGAAATATACACACATTTGGAAATCTACTCTAATCAACATTACATCAACATTCGAAAATAGTACCACTTATTTCAAACTGCGTAGCAGATTCCTCCGCATGATAGATGCAATATAAGAGAGAAGAAGTGAAGGAGAGATAAAGAGAAGATGAGAGGAAGAATTAATCATTGTAATTCGGTGTGCAACATTGTCGTTAGGCACTTCAGTATTATAATCTTTCTATTATAAAATGCGATATAATTGGAATAATTTTTCCATATAAAGTACATCATTCTGTATATGTATATTCTATCATGTTAAGTTCCTCATTTCTTCTGTCTTTCTTTTTTTTCTTTTAATATTTCCTAGAAATTTATTCTGTATAAAAAAAGATATATTTATTTCAAGAGAATAAATAAAAGGTAAAGGGTGCGAAATTCCATTTTCTCTCTAATCTTAAAAAATATCTCCTTTAATCTATAAAGTTTCAAGTTAAGTTCTTATAAAATTAAGTTAAGTTCTTAAAAGATTAATTTTTAAAGTTTATTTTTTTCTAATAAAAATTTCAAACAAATCATTATTTTTGTTACAAATTATCAATAATCTATATTTAAAAAATATATACGTAAGTAATCTTCAAGTCCAAAATAAAGTTTATTTAAAATTAAATCAAAAATAAGATTTTATTATTCCTTTGCATATCTGAAGTTTAATTTCACGACGTTTTTTTCAATTATACGTAATTGCTTGTAATGTAGAATCATTAAAATGTTCGATGTTTCAGGAAATATTGAGTAGAAATCAAAAGAAAAATAATCCATTTCTACAATATGTTATCTCATAAAAATGTCTCATCATTCAGATATAATTGCGAAATTGGATGTGGAATCTACGTGCGTAAACAACTGCACACATATGCAATAAATGACTTACGTAACGTCATATCTATCTGCGTGTATATAAAAGAAGAACATTACTCACGGTAGCAGCAGTTGACTCTCGTACTCTGATGCGTAACGTTCTGTGTCTTGTTCAGACTTTAATAACGACAAATACATATAAATATTCAAGTGACAATTCATGTAATAATCGTGCATCATTTTTTTCGTAATTTGAATTTTATCGTGTGAATAAATATCAGCATGGTATATATAATTGTGTTGTCAGTGATCGTTGGTGCTTTAGGCATATATTATTATTTCTTTAAAGATTTAAACATTTTCAAGAAACATGGCATACCGTATAAAACGCCTCTTCCCCTATTTGGAAATATGTTAGGATTGTTTTTACGTCGAGACTCAATAGTTAATTTCGTTAACAATCTTTACAAATTACATCCCGAAGCCAAGTATGTCGGGATGTTTGATTTGACAAATTCAATTATAGTGATTCGCGATCTCGAACTTATTAAATCTATCGGATTGAAAAATTTCGATTTATTCCCAGATCATATAAGTTTTATCGAGGAAGATCAAGATCCATTGTTTGGCAAAAATTTATTTGCCCTCAAAGGGGACAGGTGGCGGCAAATGCGACCTTTACTGAGTCCAGCTTTTACATCCAGCAAAATGAAAAGTATGTTTATATTGATGTCCGATTGCGCCGTTAAATTTAGCAATTATATTGCACAAATGCCAGCAGAGAAAAGAGTAATGGAAATAAAAGAGGCATTTACGAGATACACAAATGATGTGATAGCTACTTGCGCATTTGGCATTAGTGTCGATTCTATGAGAAACCCAAACAACGAATTCTACGTTTACGGCAAGGAGGCGACTAATTTCGACTCTGTCGCTTTAATAAAATTCTACTTATTTAGAAGCTTGCCTTGGGTGGCAAAAATTCTTAAATTAAGACTTATTCGCCAAAAAATAGCGGACTTCTTTCAAGAGACCATAGAGACCACTATAAAAACCAGAGATGAGAAGGGTATCGTTCGTCCAGACATGCTACAATTGATGATGGAGACTAGAAATAAGGAAGGCAAAGCAGAACTGTCTATTGAGGATATGATGTCTCAAGCATTCATTTTCTTCTTTGGCGGTTTCGATAGCACGTCGAACTTAATGTGTTTTGCTTCTCTCGAACTTGCGGTGCATCAAGACGTACAAAAAAAACTTCAAGATGAGATTGATCAAGTTTTGGAAGAGTCAAACGGAAAAGCACCATACGAAATACTTAATAACATGGAATATATGGATGCCGTGATTAACGAAGCTCTCAGAAGATATCCGATTAATGCTCCAGCATTAGACAGAGTATGCATGCAAGATTTCGAGTTACCGCCGACATTGCCAGGGAGAAAGCCTTTTACTATAAAAAAAGGAAAAGCCGTATGGATACCGGTTTATGGACTTCATCATGATCCCCAGTATTTTGAGGATCCGGAAAAATTTAATCCTGACCGGTTTCTTGGTGAACGAAAAAAGGAGATTTTCAATAGCGGAGCATATCTTCCGTTTGGGATGGGTCCCAGAATGTGCATAGGTAATAGATTCGCTTTAATGGAAACGAAAGTTTTGCTGTTTCATCTATTGGCACGTTGCGATTTGAAACCTTGCGAAAAAACACGGGTACCAATCAAGATTGCTAAGGATGGCTTCAATGTAAAACCTGAAGGCGGTTTCTGGTTGAATGTATCACCGAGAAAAAATATTCATCATACTATTGCTGTCAATGGGACACATCAGCTGTAAGAAAAAATTTTTTATTATATCTTAAAAATTTTTAAATGAATAACATTTTAATATAAAAAAATATTTCTTGTTATTTTGTTAATCGTGATAATGACTGCACAGTATTAGTTTAAAAAAAATATTTATTTATTATTTTTATATAAATAATAATATTTTCGGATAAAATATATATAATATGTGTATATGATTAATAGGCTTAAGATATAAAAATTAAATATTTAAATATATTTTTGATTATGAATAATTTAATATTGGTACTATGAAATAATAAAATAATTTTAGAAATATCATAGATTTCTCGAGAAAATAATCGTCAATATTCTTAAGATAACTTTAGAGATTTAATATATGATTATAAAATAAAATAATACATAGATATAAGAATAAAATGATTTTAGAAGTAATTCTGTACATTTTTAATTAATTTTCAGGTGAAATGAAGAAAACACCAAAACCAAGATAAACATAAAGAATATTTCTCCCTTATTTTTTATGATATAAGAAAACTTATATTACAAGCTACAAATTTAATCATATTGTTGCATTTAAAATAATATCATTTTATTGCATTAGAAATATTTCTGACATGGTAAGAATATTTTAACTTTTCTCACATTATTAAGAAAATGATAAAAGAACGGGTATAAAAAAAATTCGAACGCTATTTTTTATCTTGCATCGTAATTATTATTAATTAGATTAGGTCAATCTATATGAGAACCAATTTTTACAGACTTTAACGTGATTATTACTGTCGTAAAAAATTATCTGCATTTTTTCACAACATTCTGTTATATTGTGTACAAATTTTTTCAACTTGTTATATATTATATATTAAAATGAAAATATATTATATTGATAAGAATATATTATTAAAAATAGTTAAAGTATTATTAACTCTTTAATATACATAATATGATCAAAATGTATCATTACTATACATATATAAAAAATATTTTATACATGAAAAAATTAATGTACATTAATAAATAAGCTAAAAAATTTATATAAATATATATTATATATATAATATGTATCTCAACAGTTTGTTAAAATATATTACAACGATAGTTTTAAAATTTTAAATACTACATATACTTGATTCCATTTGAATTAACGTTTCGAAACACCTTGGCATGTTCCATGAAACGAATGACTCCATATGATATATATAAGAAAGAAAGAAAAAAGAAATAGAATGAAAAAGTTGATGATCATGGCTTGATATTATTATATTTATTTTTTTTTTTGATCATTCGTTAATTTCTTTCAATTAGGATATCAATATACATATATAATAGCGTTTTCCATTTCACTATTTGCTTTTTTATCTTATTAAAATCAGTGTCTACTTACACCTCTTTTTTATAACTTTTTAAAGAGATTTTACAAAACTGATATGCTGTGTTTATTCTTAAGAGAAATATAAAAATTGTATAATTTTATTTTCTCTTGTTAATAAAAAAATAGATAAAAATGTTTATTTACTCTTATCTATAATATTGATAAAAATATATCATTATATATCATTTAATAATATTATCATTTAATATTATCATTTAATATTATCATATCATTTAATATTATCATATTTAATATCTTTATCACTTTATCATTTGATTCTTTAATACTTATAATCTTATTTTTTTATTAATTTGGAAAGATTTGATTCTCTTGTAATATTTTGTATTCTTTCACAAATGTACTTCTTATTAATATGTGTTAAAAACAAAGTTGTTGTTATATTGCTAAGAAAATAATAAAAAAAGGATTAAAGATCAAAGGAAAGAAATATAAAATTAAATACCGAGTACTGTTTTTCTTGTATCGTAATCATCCTACGTAATAAATATACAATTATAATGCAAATACTTTTTTTTCTAACATACCAGTATACACTTATAACACATATTTCATCAATGTTGTCTTAATAAGCACATTATTTTTTCATTATGAATTTGATTAATAAGCTGGTTGTTTTTATAATTTATTATGTTAGATTAAGAAAGATATATAATACAGATATAAGTATTAATTAAAATTAATGATTATGTTGATTGTGAAAAATAAGAATCGTGCATTCTTACAAAAAAGAAACATTAGATGAACAAAATTGACACAAAACTACAAAATAATAATAAATAATAAAATTATAGTATATTATTTATAGATTATAACATTTACATTATTATAGCATTTTATCTATCATTATGTAGAATATTGTAAACATTTTTTAACTCATATATAAATTGGGAAATATATACGTTTATAATATCGATAATATATATATATATCTTATAATATAAATTAAGTGAAATATAGATATATGTTTGAATGCTGCGTCTACTTTGCTAGGTTACACATACTATCAACATTTGAAAATAGCTCGGCCTATTACACAACAAACTGCGTAGCAGATTCCGCATGGAGATCCGGTATGGAGATATAAGAGCGAAAAAGAAAAAGAAGGAAAGAAGGAAAGAAAAAATTGATCATCGTAATTCGACATGTAATATGTTGATGTCATTCACAAGCACTTCAGTATTATAATCTTTCTGTTATACATGCATAATAACTAGAATAAATTTTTCATAAAGTATGCTATTCTGCATGTGTATATTCTACTAACAGTTTCTCTTTCTTTCTCTCTTTACTCTTTTTTTTTGTAATTTCCTAAAAATTTATTCCGTATAGAGTTAGATTTATTTATTTTTAAGAAGATAATAGAGCGTGCAAAATTGCATTTTTTCTGTAATTTAAAAAATATCTTTTTTAATCTATAAGTTTCTAAGTTAAGCTTTTAAAAGATTAATTTTTTTAAAGTTTACTTTTTTTAACAAAATTCTCAAGCAAATCATATTATTTTTTCACAAATAAACAGTATTTATAATAATATCTATGTAAGTAATTTTCAAATTTACAAAAATCCAAAGTGAGATTTATTTAAAATTAAATAAAAAATAAAATGTTATTCGTTTACACATCTGAATTTAATTTCAGGAAGTCTTTTTCATACTTGCTTCCTACATATATATGTTCCGATAACATATATATATATATATATATATATATATATATATATATGTTATCGGAGCAGCAAAGAGAGATTTAAAAGCTAAATGTACTATAATTTATATAATTTATATAATTTATATTTAAAATATTTCCTCAAACTTCACAATAAATTATCTCATCAAAAATGCTTCATTATAAAATGTGATTAGGAATCGAAATTGAGTGTGCACACGCACATACAATTATACGCGCATATACTGTGCAATAAACGGTTCACATGACGTCACATATCTATCCGCGTATCCACGTGTATATAAAAGAAGAGCATTACTTACTGCATAGACTTATAGAATAGACTGGCCCCTACTATAAGAGGCAACGTTGAAAGATCTAAAGGACAGAGAGATGATTTGGGGTATCTCTGTCCTTCTCTTTTATTTCGTGGTGAGGACACTGTAGGAGTTCAGGGGAAAGCAGTTTGCATGCTCGCTTCGTTTTCACTCATCCCATCAGTGTCCCCATCAGTGTCCCCCACGACACAAAAGAGAAGGATAGAGATACCCGGACTCATCTCTCTATCCTTTAGATCTTTCAACGCTGCCTCTTAAGCCCTTTGCACAATGCTAGGCAACAGGCATTAAGAACAGAAATAATATTTATTCTTTGCTCCTATTGGCGAATATTTTCTGTTTCGCGTATTTATTGTGAATAGTTTCTATTCCTTATTTCTATTGCCTGTTGCCTAGCAAAGGGCTTTACGGTAGGGGCCAGTCTAATCTATAAGTCTATGCTTACTGTATTAGCAGTTGCCCTCTGTTGTACTCTGATGTGTAACGTCCTTCGCGTTCACACTTTAATAATATATACATACAAATATTCGAATAACGTTCATGTAATAATCGCGCATTATTATTTTCTTCACAATTTGAATTCCAACGTGTGAGTAAATATCAACATGATATATATAATTGTATTGTCAGTGATCGTCGGTGCTTTAGGCATCTATTATTATATCTTAAAAGATTTAAACTTTTTCAAGAAACATGGCATACCATATAAAACACCTTTTCCCATATTTGGAAATATGGTAGAATTGTTTTTACGTCGAGATTCAATAGTTGATTTCGTTAACAATCTTTACAAATTACATCCCGAAGCCAAGTACGTTGGCATGTTTGATATGACAAATCCAGTTATAGTGCTTCGCGATCCAGAACTTATTAAATCTATCGCGTTGAAAAATTTCGAACTGTTCTCGGATCATCGCAGTTTCGTTGAAGAAGATCAAGAGCCATTATACGGTAAAAACCTGTTTTCCCTCAAAGGTGAAAGATGGAGGTAAGTACGGCCTTTACTGAGTCCAGCTTTTACATCTAGCAAAATGAAAAGTATGTTTATACTGATGTCGGATTGCGCCGTAAAATTTAGCAATTATTTGGTGCAAATGCCAGCAGAAAAGAAGATAATGGATATAAAAGAGCATTTGCGAGATACACAAATGACATAATAGTTACTTGCGCTTTTGGTATTAGCGTCGATTCTATGAGAAACCCGAACAACGAATTCTATGTTTACGGCAGGGAGGCGACTACTTTCAATAATCTCAGCGTAATAAAATTCTTCATATTTAGAACCCTGCCTTGGGTGGCAAAAATACTTAAATTAATAATGGTACGTCAAAAAAAAGCGGATTTCTTTCAAAATCTCTTAGATAGTACTATAAAAACTATAGATGAGAAAGGTATCGTTCGTCCAGACATGCTGCAACTGATGATGGAGTCTAGAGGTAAAGAAAGTAAACCAGAACTATCTATCGAGGATGTGGTATCTCAAGCATTCATTTTTTTTTTTTGGCGGTTTCGATAGTATATCGAACTTAATGTATTTTGCTTCTCTCGAACTTGCGGTGCATCAATTGTTGTGTAACAATCACTTGTTGTGTAACAAAATTGTTGTATTCCTGAGAAAATGATAAAAATGAAGGATTAAAGATCAAAGAAAAAAAATATGAAAATAATTAAAAACCGGATGCTGTTTTTTTCTCGTATCGTGATCATCAATAAACTTGTAATTATGATGCAAATGATGCTTTTTTCTAATATACTACTATACATTTATAATAATGCATTTATAATAATGCATGTCATCATTGCTATCTGAATAAACACTTGCATTTTTTCACTAGATTGAATTTGATGAACCTAGTAAGTTAGTTGTTTTTGTAATTTATTATGTTAGAATTAAGAGAGATATATGATACACACACACACACACACACACACACACACACAAGTGAAAGAATTAATCAAAATAGTGAAAATTAATCATTATATTACTATGATAATAAATAAGAATTGTGTATTGTTACATATAAGAAATGTAGAAACATTAGAGAAACAAAGTTGAATAAAATGAAATTATAAAATAACACGATATAGTATATTATTTATACATTATATTATTTTTTTTTACTATTATGTTGAATATCATATTGTAAAATTTTTTGTAATAAATATAAATCGTGATGTATTTTTATAATGTCGATTATAATGTATGTTTTATAAACTGTGAAATAACTGAGAAATATGCATGTTTTTTACTATATCTACTCTGCTCGACTTACATTCCATCACATTTGAAAATAGTTCAGCTTATTACGTCAAACTGCGTAGCAGATAAATATATAACTCCTCCGCATGATAAATATATAACAGAGAAGGAGTAAAGGAGAGATAAAAAAAGGGAGAGAGAGAGGAAGTTGACCATCGCAATTCGACATGCAATATGTTGATGTCATTCATGGGCGCTTCAGTATTATAATCTTTCTGTTATATGTGCATAATAACTAGAATAAATTTCCCATATAAAATATATTCCCACATAAAGTATTTTTTGTATGCATATATTCTATCAAGTTTAATTTCTCTTTCCGTCTCTCTTTATTTTTTATTATTTTTTTATATAAATTTCCTAGAAATTTATCCCGCATAGAGGCAGATTTATTTATCTTTAAGAGAACGAATAATATGGAATCCGTAAAATTTCATTTTTTTTCTACTTTTAAAAAAATATTGTCTTTAATCTATAAGCTTTTAAATTAAGTTCTTATAGTTTATAAGATTAATTTTTAAAGTTTAGTATTTTTTAATAAAAATTTCAAGGAAATTATTTTTGTCATAAATTATTAATAATTATATTTAAAAAATTTATATTTAAAAAATATCTATGTAAGCAATCTGCAAATCCAAAATAAAATTTAAAATTAAATAAAAAATAAGATGCGTTTGTTAATCTCAAGTTTAATTTCAGAAAGTCTCTTCAATTATACATAATTGCCTCTAATGTAAAAACTATCAATCCTCCATTTCCAGGAAATATTGAATAGAAATCAAACGAAAAAAAATCCATAAATAAAAAGCGATCCAATTCAATTTGGAAACTTTGCAATAATATACTATATATACACAATACTATATATACACAAGATTTCTGTATATGAAATCTACATTAAGAAAAAACTTTTTGTAATTATATATATATATATATATATATATATATATATATATATATCAGAAAAGAGATAAAAAAGCAAAATATTATTCATTTGAAATATATCAAATTTTACAACATGTCTCAGTATCTCATTAAAAATGTCTCATTATTTAATGTTTGGGAATTAAAGTTGGATGTGTGGAATCTACGTGCGCATATAAATACATATACATATATACTACACAATAAATGGTTCACGTGATACCATATCTACGTGCATATAAAAGAAGAACGTTATTCATACCAGCAGCAGTCATCCGCCTTGACTCGGACACGTTTTTCGGATTCAGAATTTAATATAACAATATATTCATGTAAAACATTCAACTAACAGTTCGTGTAATCGCGTATTAATATTTTTTTCGCAATTTGAATTTCATTGTGTAAATAAATATCATGTAAATAATCAGCATGGTATACATAATGTTGTCGGTGATCGTGGGTGCTTTAGGCATATATTATTATCTTTTTAACAATTTAAATTTTTTCAAAAAACATGGAATACCGCATAAAACGCCTTTCCCATTACTGGGTAATATGGGATCGACTCTTTGCCATCGCCAATCAATAGTTGAATTAGTTAAATCATTGTACGATTTATCTCCTGACGCGAAATACGTCGGCATGTATGACTTGATGAGGCCAGTCATAGGACTCCGCGATCCTAAACTTATTAAATCGATCACCTTGAAACATTTCGACATGTTTATGGATCGTATGAATTCTATCGACGAAACTCAAGATCCACTATTAGGCAAGAATATCGGCACTCTTCGTGGAGAGAAGTGGCGCGAAGTAAGATCTATATTGAGCCCGGCTTTCACATCCAGCAAAATGAAAAATATGTTTATACTAATATCGGATTGCGCCGCCAAATTTAGCAATTACTTGGCGCAAATATCAGTAGAGAAAGAGATAATGGAAATGAATGAAATGTTTACGAGATATACGTCTGACGTAACAGCTACTTGCGCCTTTGGTATCAATGTTGATTCCATGAGAAATCCGGAGAACGAATTCTATTTGTACGGGAGAGAGGCGATCGCTTTTAATATCACTGCCTTAGTGAAGTTCTATATTCATAGAAGCTTGCCTTGGCTAGCACGAATAATGCGACTGAAATTTATTCGCGAAAAAATAGTGAATTTTTTCCGAGATCTCGTAAAAATCACAATAAAGACAAGAGATGAGAACGATATTGTTCGACCAGACATGTTACAGCTGATGATGGAGAACAGAGGCAAGGATGGTAAGATAGAATTCACTATCGATGATATGATAGCCCAGGCATTTATTTTTTTCTTTGGCGGTTTTGAGAACAGTTCTGTATTAATGTGTTTTGCCGTTTACGAAATTGCGAAAAATCAAGACATACAAGAAAGACTTCACAATGAAATCGATGAGGTTTTAGAAGGAACAAATGGACAAGCATCATACGAAGCAATTAATAGCATGGAATATTTAGATGCTGTGATTAACGAAGCTCTTAGAATGTATCCAGTTGCTTTGACGTTGGATAGATTATGCTTGAAAGATTTCGAGTTACCTCCGACATTACCAGGAAGAAAACCCTTTACTGTAAGAAAAGGACACGGCATATGGATACCTATTATGGACTTCATCACGATCCTCAATACTTTAAAGAGCCGGAAAAGTTCGATCCCGAACAATTTCTTGGCAAACGGAAAAAAGAGAGTCTCAATTGTGGAGTCTATATTCCCTTCGGTCTAGGTCCTAGAATGTGTATAGGTCACAGATTCGCATTGTTGAAAACGAAGGTTCTGCTCTTTCACCTGTTGGCACGTTGCGATTTTAAACCTTGCGAGAAGACATCGATACCGCTCAAGTTTTCTAAAGATAGCTTTACTTTGAAGTCTGAAAAAGGTTTTTGGTTAAATATATCACCAAGAAAAAATCCACATCATACTATTGCAATTAATGTCTCGAATAACAAACTGTAAGCAAATTTCGTTAATTTAATTGAATCATCGCAAATGTATAATTGAAAAATACATAACAAATTATTTATTGTCATTTTGTTATAATTAATTATGTAAAATATTAATTTTTTAACAAAGAGTAAAAATTTCACATTTATAATTCTGTTTTTAATCTCTTAAAATTCGTAATTTTTAAAAAATCTTAAACTTTATAATATTCTAAATATCAATAATTTGTAACGAAACAAAAACTTCGATGTTAAAATATAAAGATTATTCGAAAAAAGCTATATATATATATATATATATATATATATATATATATATATATATTGTATTTATATCTTTCAGGTGAAACACTGAAGTGAAGTGCTTTTTTCTCCTTTAAATTCATTATTATTGCTGTTTATTGACTGATATTATTACGATATGCTGATACTATACTATCAGGAATATGATATATCACAATTTATATGTAATTACTTCTCGGCAGATTATTTATGATTCTGAATATAAGAAATTGTAACATAAACTTTACTTTAATATATATATATATATATATATATATATATATATATATATATATATATATATATATAATCTTTCTGTATATGAAAATTGTATTTTATATACATTTTTTCCATAGAAAAACTTTCTTTTATTCTGTATATATATCGGAGTAGAAAAGAGATAAAAAAAAATTAACTGTATTTATTTGAAATATTTCAAAAAAATTTTACAACATATTATCTCATCAAAACTGTTTTATTATCTAGATATGATTGAGACTCGTTGGATGTGGAATCTTCTTGCGCACACAAATACATACACATGCTGTGCAATAAATGGCTCACATGACGTCATATCTATCTGCGTGTATAAAAGAAGAATATTATTCACGACAGCAGCAGTTGAGCACCGTATTCCCGAGGCGTAACGCCTCTCGCATTGCTCTAATTTTAATAACGACATATACGTATAAATATTTTCTCTCAAGTGACAGTTCGTATAATAATCGCGCATTGTCATTTTTTTCGCAACTTGAATTCCATCGTGTGAATAAAGATCAGCATGGTATACATCATCGTGTTATCGATTGTCGTGGGTGCTTTAGGTATTTATTATTATCTTTTTAAAGATTTGGACTTTTTCAAGAAACATGGAATACCGTATAAGAAACCTTCCCCATTACTTGGGAACATGGGATCGATATTATTTCGTCGCCAATCGTTAGCTGAATTAATTAAATCAATATACGATTTATCTCCTGACGCCAAGTACGTCGGTGTTTACGACTCGACCAAGCCACTCATAGCACTCCGCGATCCCGAGCTTATTAAATCCATCACGTTAAAACATTTCGACATGTTTATGGATCGTTGCATCGTTATCGAGGAAACTCAAGATCCATTTTTTGGTAAGAATGTATCCGCTCTTCGCGGAGAGAAATGGCGCGAAGTGAGATCTATATTGAGCCCGGCTTTCACGTCCAGTAAAATGAAAAATATGTTCAAGCTAATGTCAGATTGCGGTATCGACTTTGTCAATTATTTGATGCAATTGCCAGCGGAGAAGAGGATAATGGAAATGAAAGAAGTCTTCACGAGGTACACGAATGACGTAATAGCTACGTGCGCCTTTGGTATCAGTGTTGATTCCATGAGAAACCCCAAAAATGAATTCTATGTGTATGGCAGAGAGGTGACTGATTCAATACTATTGCTATAATAAAGTTCTTTATATATAGAAGCTTGCCTTGGCTGGCACGAATAATGAGATTGAAATTTGTTCGTGAAATAGCGAATTTTTTCCGAGATCTCGTAAAAGTCACAATAAAAATTAGAGATGAGAACGGTATCGTTCGACCAGACATGTTACAGCTGATGATGGAGAATAGAGATAAAGACGATAAAATAGAATTGACTATAGACGATATGGTTGCCCACGCGTTTATTTTTTTCTTTGGCGGCTTCGATAGCAGTTCTTCATTAATGTGTTTCATCGCTCATGAACTCGCGGCAAATCAGGATATACAAGAAAGACTTCACAATGAGATCGATGAGATTTTAGAAAAAACAAATGGACAAGTATCATACGAAGCAATTAATAGCATGGAATACTTGGACGCTGTGATTAACGAGGTCCTTAGAATGTATCCGGTTAATTTAATGTTAGATAGACTATGTTTGAAAGATTTCGAGTTACCACCGACATTACCAGGAGTAAAACCCTTTACTCTAAAAAAAGGACATGGCATATGGATACCGATTTATGGACTTCATCACGATCCTCAATACTTTAAAGAGCCGGAAAAGTTCGATCCCGAACGATTTCTTGGCGAGCGGAAAAAAGAGAGTCTCAACTGCGGAGCCTATCTTCCCTTTGGTTTAGGTCCTAGAATGTGTTTAGGAAACAGATTCGCATTGCTGGAAACGAAGGTTCTGTTTTTTCATCTGCTGACACGTTGCGATTTCGAACCTTGCGAGAAGACCTCGATACCGCTCAAATTTTCTAAAGGTTTTAATTTGAAGCCCGAGGGAGGTTTCTGGCTGAATGTATCGCCAAGAAAAAATCCACATCATACTATTGCAGCCAATATCGCAAATAACAAATTGTAAGCAAATATCATTAATTTAATTAATTAGATCTTCGAAAAATATACAATTGACAAGTGCATAAAAAGTTGTTTGCTGCCATTTTGTTAGAATTAATAATATAATATATTTATGTTTTAACAAAAAATAAAAATTTTTCCCTTATAATCCTATTTAATTTTTTAGAATTTATAATTTTCAAAAAATCTTAAACTTTTATATTCTAAATATTAATAATTTATATGAAACACATAAAATTGCGATGTTAGAATAAGAAGAATTCATTTGAAAAAATAGCTATATATGTATTTCATTTATATCTTTCAGATAAAACGTACTTTTCTCCGTCAAATTCATTCTTATCACTGCTTATTGGCTGATATCATTACGATATGCTGATACTATCAGGACTATGATATGATATCACAATTTATGTTTTATGTTATTGTTTGTGCAGCAGATTTAAAATTCTGAATATACAAAATTGCAAAGTAAAGTTTATTTTAGTAAAAATCGTTACTCTTCTATCATTTATTATCAGCACTTTAATATTGAAATAACAAACTGTGAAAAAAATTATGCAGTTTTGCGCAATTATATAAACTTAATGAAATCTACATAAATATCACATCAAAGCATAAACATGTCAACTATAATTCGGAACAAAAATTTAATTAAAATTAAATAAAAAATAAAATTTTCTTATTCGTTTGCACATATGAAGTTTAATTTTAGGAAATTTTTCCAATTGTACGTAATTGTTTGTAATGTAGAAACCATTAATCCTCAATGTTTCAAGAAATATTGAAACGATATCAAACGAAAAGAATAATCAATAAAAATAATTCAGTAAGTGTTTAGGGACTTTATACATAATGTACGATATATACATAAACTTTCTGTATATGAAATATTTTCTATTTTTTATATACATTTTTCTTCCCAAAAAAAATTTCGAAGTAGGAAAGAGATAAAAAAGCTATGTATTTATTTGAAATATTTCAACAAATTTTACAACATATTTTCTTACCAAAAATGCCTCTTTATTTAGATGTTTGATAATCGAAGTTGAATGTAGATTCTACGCACGCGCACAAATATATACATATATTACATAATAAATGACTCACATGACATATCTATCTGCGAGTATATAAATGACGAACTCATGGCATTAGCAGTTGTCCGTTGTACTCTGATACGTAAAGTCCTTCGCATCGTTGAGACTTTAATAATATATGTGCATAAATATTCCAATAACAGTTCATGTAATGATCGCGCATTATTATTTTCGCAATTTAAATTCCATCGTGTGAATAAAAATCAGCATGGTATATATAATCGTGTTGTCAGTGATCGTGGGTGCTTTAGGCATATATTATTATCTCTTTAAAGATTTGAACTTTTTCAAAAATCATGAAATACCACATAAGACACCTCTCCCGTTACTGGGAAATATGGGATCGACTTTTTTCCGTCGCCAATCGACAGCTGAATTCGTTAAATCGTTATACGACTTATCTCCTGATGCCAAGTATGTCGGCATGTATGAATTTACCAGGCCACCAATAGTAATCCGCGATCCCGAGCTTATTAAATCCATCACATTGAAACATTTCGACATGTTTATGGATCGTCGCGCCTTTCTCGACGAAATACAAGATCCACTTCTTAGCAAGAATATCACCGCTCTTCGTGGAGAAAGATGGCGCGAAGTAAGAGCTATATTGAGCCCGGCTTTCACGTCCAGTAAAATGAAAAATATGTTCAAGTTGATGTCAAATTGCGCTATCGATTTTGCCAATTATTTGATGCAATTACCAACGGAGAAGAAGACAATGGAAATGAAAGAAGTATTTACGAGGTACACGAATGACGTAATAGCTTCTTGTGCTTTTGGCGTCAGTGTTGATTCCATGAGAAACCCGAAGAACGAATTCTATGTGTATGGCAAAGAAGCGACCGTTTTAGATACTGTCGTCTTACTGAAATTTTTCATATTTATACAGTTGCCTTGGCTGGCACGATTAATAAGACTGAAATTTGTTCGTGATGAAATAGCGAATTTTTTCCGAGATCTCGTAAAAGTCACAATAAAAACTAGAGATGAGAATGGTATCGTTCGACCAGACATGTTACAGCTGATGATGGAGAAGCGAGATAAAGATGATAAAATAGAACTGACTATCGACGATATAGTTGCCCAGGTGTTTATTTTCTTTTTTGGCGGTTTCGACAGCAGTTCTTCATTAATGTGTTTCGCCGCTCATGAAATCGCGATAAATCAGGACGTACAAGACAGACTTCACAATGAGATCGATGAAGTTTTAGAAAAAACAAATGGACAAGGATCATACGAAGCAATTAATAGCATGGAATACTTAGACGCTGTGATTAACGAGACCCTCAGAATGTATCCGATTGGTGCGATGTTAGATAGATTATGCTTGAAAGATTTCGAGTTACCGCCAACATTACCTGGAGTAAAACCCTTTACTGTAAAAAAAGGACACGGCATATGGATACCGGTTTATGGACTTCATCACGATCCTCAATACTTTAAAGAGCCAGGAAGATTCGATCCTGAACGTTTCCTTGGTGATCGGAAAAAAGAGAGTCTCAATTGCGGAGCCTATCTTCCCTTTGGTCTAGGTCCTAGAATGTGTATAGGAAGCAGATTCGCATTGCTAGAAACAAAGGTTCTGCTCTTTCATCTACTGGCACGTTGTGATCTCGAACCTTGCGAGAAGACATCAATACCGTTCAAATTTTCTAAAAACATCTTTAATTTGATGCCCGAAGGAGGTTTCTGGCTGAATGTATCTCCAAGAAAATATTCACATCATATTATTGCAGTTAATGTTTCGAATGACAAAAGCAAATGTTGTAAGCAAATTTTATTAATTTAATAGAATCATCGAAATCTATATTTAGAAAATGCATAAAATGCATAAAATGTTATTTGCTGTTGTCCTATAATAATGTAATATAATATTTTAACAAAGAATAAAATTTTTCATATATGATTTTATTTTTTATCTCTTGCAATTTATAACTTTTATAAAATCTGAAACTTTAGTATTCCAAATATTAATTACTTGTATGAAACAAAAACTTCGATGTTAGAAGATTGTATGAAGAAAATATATACAATTATATATGTACTTTATTGATATCTTTGAGATAAAACGTGCATTTCTCTGTTAAATTCATTCTAAATTCGAACGCTGTTTAACTGATATTATAACGATATACTATAATATAATATTATTAGAATTATGATATAACATCACATTTAATGCGTAATTATTTGCGCAGCAAATTATTCAGATTCTGAGTATAAAAAATTACAACGTGTAGTTTATTTAATAAAAAATTATTACTCTTTTATCATTTATTATAGCACTTCCTCAATATGAAAATAACAATCTGTGAATGATTATGCAGTTTGCGCAACTATATATAAGCCTAATGAGGTACATACAAATGTTTACATAAATGTTATCTCAAAGCATAAACATGTCAACTATTATTCGAATAAAAATTTATTTAAAATTAAATGAAAATGAAAAAAAAAATTTTATTATTCGTTTGCAGATATAAAATTTAATTTCAGAAAACTTATTTATTAATACATAATTGCTCGTAATGTAGAAACCATGAATCCTCAAATAATGTTCAGGAAATATTGAATAGAAATTAAACGAAAAATAATCCATAAATAAAAAGTGATTCAATAAGTGTTTAGGGACTTTATACATAATATACAATATATACATAAGCTTTCTGAAAGATGAAATCTACATTTTATATACATTTTCCAAAAGAGAAACTTTCTTTTATTATGTATATATAGAAGTAGAAAAAAGATAAGAAGCTAAATATATTTATTTGAAATATTTTATTAAATTTTACAACATATTTTCTCATCAAAAATGCCTTATCATGTGATTGGGAATAGAGTTTGGATGTGAAATTTACCTGTGGCGCACATGATTATATACGCATACTACGCAATAAATGACTCACATGACGCCATATCTGTCTGCGTGAATATAAAAGAAGAATATTACTCACGGCAGCAGCAGTTGAGCACCGTATTCCGAGGCGTAACGTCTCTCGCATTGCTCTAATTTTAATAACGACATATACGTATAAATATTTTCTCTCAAGTGACAGTTCGCATAATAATCGCGCATTATCATTTTTTTCACAATTTCAATTCTATGGTGTGAATAAAAATCAGCATGATATATATAATCGTGTTATCGGTGATCGTGGGTGCTTTAGGCATATATTATTATCTTTTTAAAGATTTGAACTTTTTTAAGAAACATGGGATACCGTATAAGAAACCTCTCCCATTACTGGGGAACATGGGATCGACATTCTTTCGTCGCGAATCGGTAGCTGAATTAATTAAATCGATATATGATTTATCTCCTAACGCCAAATATGTCGGCATGTACGACTTGACTAGGCCACTCATAGTACTCCGCGATCCCGAGCTTATTAAATCCGTCACGTTGAAACATTTCGACATGTTTATGGATCGTCGCTCTTTTATCGAGGAAAGCCAAGATCCACTTTTGGGTAAGAATCTTTCTGCTCTTCGTGGAGAAAGATGGCGCGAAGTAAGATCTATATTGAGCCCCGCTTTCACGTCCAGTAAAATGAAAAATATGTTCAAGCTGATGTCGGATTGCGCCGGCAAATTTAGTAATTACTTGGCGGAAATGCCAGCAGAGAAGAGGATAATGGAAATAAAAGAAGCATTTACGAGGTACACGAATGACGTAATAGCTACTTGTGCCTTTGGCGTCAGTGTTGATTCCATGAGAAACCCGAAGAATGAATTCTACGTATACGGAAGAGAGGCAACCGTTTTCAATACTGTTGCCTTACTGAAGTTTTATATATTTAGAAGCTTGCCTTGGTTGGCACAAATAATGAGATTGAAATTATTTCCTGAAAAAATAACGAATTTTTTCCGAGATCTCATAAAAACCACAATAAAAACTAGAGATGAGAATGGTATTGTTCGACCAGACATGTTACAGCTGATGATGGAGAATAGAGATAAGGATAATAGGACAGAATTGACTATCGATGATATGGTAGCCCAGGCGTTCATTTTTTTCTTGGGCGGCTTCGAGAGCAGTTCTGTATTAATGTGTTTTGCCGCTCATGAAATCGCTGTAAATCAGGACATACAAAAAAGACTTCACAATGAGATCGATGAGGTTTTAGAAAAAACAAATGGACAAGGATCATACGAAGCAATTAATAGCATGGAGTATTTAGATGCTGTGATTAACGAGGCCCTCAGGATGTATCCGGCTGGTTTAGCGTTGGATAGATTATGCTTAAAAGATTTCGAGTTACCGCCGACATTACCAGGAATGAAATCCTTTACTCTAAAAAAAGGACACGCCATATGGATACCGATTTATGGACTTCATCACGATCCTCAATACTTTAAAGAACCAGGAAAATTCGATCCCGAACGTTTTCTTGGTGAGAGAAAAAAAGAGAGTCTCAATTGCGGAGCCTATCTTCCCTTTGGTCTAGGTCCTAGAATGTGTATAGGTAACAGATTCGCATTGCTGGAAACGAAGGTTCTGCTCTTTCATCTATTGGCACGTTGCGATTTCGAGCCTTGCGAAAGGACATCGATGCCGCTCAAGCTTTCTAAAGGTGGCTTTACTTTGAAGCCCGAGGGAGATTTCTGGCTGAATATATCACCAAGAAAAAATCCACATCATACTATTGCAGTCAATGTCGCAAATGGCAAATTGTAAGTAAATTTCGTTAATTTAATTGGCTTATCGAAATTTATAATTGAAAAATGCATAAAAAATTATTTGCTGTTATTTTGTTGTAATTAATAATGTAATATATTAATTTTTTAACAAAAAGTAAAACATGTTTTCACTTATTTCTATTTTTAGTCTCTTAGAATTCATAATTTTCAAAAAATCTTAAACTTTCGTACTTCAAATATTAATCATTTGTGTACAAGAAACAAGAACTTCGATGTTAGAATAAAGAGATCATTTGAAATATATAGCTATACTTGTATTTTATTTATATCTTTTTCAGATAAAACATATGTGAAAAAGCAACTAAGGATCAAGTTGAAGCCAAACATTTATCTCTTGACTTTTCGATAAGCAGCTATTTACTAATTTACTTTAAGCGAGTAATGGAGATAAATCGATTGAATGATCGGAGTCCTTATCCAGAAATTCTTGGTAAATATAATGTAAATTGAACAATGCAACTAACGAAACAGAGGTATATACTATTAATCATAAATATAGTGTTATATGATGTAAGTTTTGTCTATAATAATTAAATATTCGATACATTTTTTATGCGTTAAAAATAAAGCTATTATATATTATCTTTTGTGTATTGAAAGTAATAAAAACATGAAAAGATAAGACAGTACGAAGAAAATTAAAGATCGAGTGATATTTGTTATCATATTTGTTATTGTTATCTCGTATTGTGTTATCATGATTATCAACTTGTAACTTTATCACTTTCGCTTATTACTTTTTATCTCATATAGATAATAACTGCACAAATATTGTGATAAACATCTGTATTTTTTTATTCATTCTATTGTAGATATTTTATAGAAATTATTTTTATAATTTATCATTTGTGATAATAAAGGTATAATATAATTACAATTATAAGACTGTTAATAATTTTATAAAAAGATAGATCATTTTTATTATCAAAAATTAAATGTAATTATTAAGAATATCAGAACTTTTTATATAAATGAAAACTGACCTTAAGTAATCAGTTACAGATTACTGTTCTAAATTATTGCATCAACCTTCAAAAATACAGAAAATTCAAACAAATAAGTAATTTTTTCTCTTTTTTTTCTTTTAGTTATTTTGCTCATGTTTATAAAATTTTTAAAGCATAAAATAATAGAAATAAAATATAATTTAGTAATATATATTTTTTTTTGTTCATTAAAACAATTTTTTTGTTTTTTACAAATAGTGCAATATTTTAATTAGTACTGTATATAACTAACAAAAATTGTAATTGTCAAATGTTTACAGGCGAGCATTAAAAAAAGATTAAAAATAACTATTGTTATAAATATTATTGTAACAATAACAATAGCCACAATTATACAGAATTATAAATTTGCCCTGGAAAACTACGGAATTATAAGATTTTCCCTTTGCAAGTACTAGATCCATTTCATGACAGGGAGTTTCCCGATCTGGCTGTATAATAGACGGGATTCTGTGCGTCGAGAGCGGAGAGGTCTCTCTCTCGCATTGACCAAGGAGGATCTGCATTGGTTGCACGTTCTCGCGCGCAGTTGCACGGTGGATAACAGCCGTATAATATATTCGGCTACGTGATTGGGCGTTTCCAGAGACGCGATACGAGCTTGTGAATGCCACTTTAATGAGCGGTCGGAAGCGTGCTCGCTTTCCCCAGCGCGGCGGTCGCTCGGCCCTTCCAAAGGAATCGCGCGCGCGACGGACCTCTCGACGGACACAAACCGACTTGTATTAAATAAGGCGTTCGCGTGACGCTTGCCATAGTACTCGCTATAGCAAGCCAACTGGACACTTTGTTGCATTTGATCCACTTGGTCATTAGATACGGTTATCCTTCGATGCTACGAGAGATCCTTGTAATTTAGATAATTAGCGGTCGAATGATAATCATCGGCCAAGTTCTCCATGCGCTTAATGTATTGTAACGATCGATGACTGCGACAACTAGTTTTTATATTTACTCATAATCTCATAATATATACTCAGATATTAGTAACTATCAACTATTTTTTTCCCACAAAATTATAATATTAAATAAAGAAAAAATAAGTAATTGACAAAAGACTATTGATATTCATAGTCTATCTAGTAAATAGACTCGTAAAATCTTTTAACAAAAGAGCATTTTGTAAATTCAATAAAATTTAATATTGTATAGATATAAATAGTTCGTATAGCCTGTATATATTAAATAATTTGTATAGTGTATATATATATATATATATATATATATATATATATATATATATATATATGTATTCTTGCGAAACTATATCACTGGTAAAAATGGCCATTTTCAACTCCCCGAGGTGTATGTCCGAGCAAGTATCCTGACTCGATAAAAGTACCCCTTCTCTAATCTAATTCACTTACCACCGCTGGAAAGGGACCGCATGTTGGAGAAGGGCTAGGAATTGATGAAGTAGGGATCATAAGGGTGGCTCGAAACGATGCATTGTCTCGCTACGAAGAAATTGAGCAGGGTGTGTGGCAAAAACATTCTTATAATTATTTTTTGAGTTTTTTGCCTTATTCTCCTTTCGTATATATGTAATTACAAAATATATGCGAAGTAAATATTAAAACTAAAAAGACGGCGATTAAAATTGTTAAATTTAGCGTGAAAAGCGTCGTTTGAATTTTATTTTTCTAATATATGTTTTCTGATTAAAATTATCAAAAAAGTAATTTATAATTATATAATAATATAATAACTTTCTTAAAAATTGTTTCCATTAAAAAATATTCCTTTCATGATTCGAAATTTCAATTTTAGCATTATTATATATTACGAAGTAAAAAATTCGTGCAATTACAATTACGACTAAGATAAATAAAGTCGTAAACTTACATTGTAGATATATTAGGTGAGAGTTTCCCAAATTCAAAAACGTTCGACAAACTTGATTTGTACTTGATTTATCTGAAATGAAAAAAATATTTCTCATTAATTTAAGTTTAATTTTATTGAATCTTATTTTAGTATATTTATGTTAACCATAATATTATTAAATTTATAGTTATTAATTCTAATATAAAAAATGTTCGTCATTCCGTTTCATTACTATTCATTACTATTATAATATGCATATTTATGAATGCATGAGATATTTTGCAACCGAATTATACACCGAAGTAAATATCAAGACTGAAAAAAGATTGCAATTAAAATTATTATTGCTAAATTTATCATGAAAATTGTCCTTTAAATTTTATTTTTCTAATACATGATATATGTTTTATGATTAAAATAATCAAAAAATAATTTACAACGCAATAATTTAAAAATTGTTTCCACATTAAAAAATATCCTTTTTTATCATATCGAATTATGTTGTTAATGAGAATATGTAAACAAGAAATTATGTAGAAATTATTTTCTTGTAAAAGATAACGTAATAAATTATTTTTTGTATACGCCATCACTCTTTGTTAATCGATAAGGATGGATGTAATTATTTCGACAAATTTATTTTGACATAAAATTTATTTGTGAGAAAAAATCTGGATGTCTTTTTAACATTTAATAAGAGATAAAAAATCAAGAAACTTAAAATATTATGCATATAAAATAATAATTTCTTAAATTAAATTTTTCAGAAAATATAGGGAGAAAGAAAATGTGTGTAAATATCTAAAGATAATTACTTGGTGTAATAAATGTATGCATGACATATTGTATATTTATATTATAAATCAGATGCATTTGTAACAAGATAAGCTGTACAGCAAAGAAAAATGAAATTTCCGCAATGTGTAAATATAATTATATTTAACTTGTAATTTAAAAGAATGACCATAAGCTAGAGAATATAATAATAATGCATACACACACACACACACACACACTATCAGTATGACAATTATTTCTGGTTCATGTATGGGAGAATGAAATATATTTTTACAATATATTAAAAAAAAGTATTATTTTCTTTATAAATATATATTTATATTTATTATATAATTTTTAGTATAATAATAAGTATAATAATAGGTGCAAATTTATGCCATCGAGTTATGTAAAATTTATTGTAATTATATTAATTGTAATTATAATTTATTGTAATTATATTTTCACTAATATTTCGAAAATTTTAAAATATCTAACACCGCATTTCTATTTTCATAATATAACATTATATATAGTAGTAATGAAAGTGTATCCATAATTGTGATTGTACCTTATATAGAATGTTACAGTTACATATTGTATAAATGTTTCGGTAAAGTATTGTATGATTAATTTTTAATAGCATATTCCAAATTAATTATATGTAGAAACAGAAATTTTAAATGTATTGCTATGTTTCGCAATAATTTCAAAGTTATGAATAAAGTTATAGTTTTTTAATGATATTACATATATTATATATATGATATTATATACTTTCTCTTCTCTTTTATGTTCATGCTCATAATTATGCACACACATACATACACACACACACATACATGCATATTAAAAATCAATTATCAATATGATCGTGTCATCAATATCATCAATACGAAAATTTAATGCGTCCCCTCGCAACATATACAAATACATTAGCGTTCGCAACTTATTTATTAATTTACATTTACAACTTATACTATTAATTCCTTAAATCTAATTGCATCTCTACTTATCCTACTTAACTCATACACACACGCCAATTTTTCCTACTTGCTATTTTAACTAATTAATTCTGCTTTCGGCTTACAGTAATATTTCTTCATCCTCTCTCTTTCTCTCCCTCTCTGTCCCTCTCTCTCTCTCTCTCTCTCTTTCTCACTCTATTGATTTGTAGTTGATATATTAATTGTTTAAAAAATTACTTTAAAAAATAAGTCAAAGAGCGCCCATGTAAAATAATTGTAGCTCAAAGAAATATTATTTTATTGCTTAAATATTAATTTTTTATAAAAAGTATAACGTTAGAAATTTGCATCAAATTGTACACTAAAAATATTATGTACGTTATATAATATAATTATTTTGTTATATTGTTTCAATACTAAAATTATTATATTTAATAAAGTTCAATATATATGATTATTCGATGTATATATACATTATATATTAATTATGTATATATACATTATATATTTTAATCACTATAAAAAATCTTTAAAATATATGTATCTTATCAAATAAAATATTAAAATAAAAATATATGCATAACATATTATACATATTTAGATATGTATATATCTATAAAAAAGACTACTAAAATTTAAAGTCAACTAAAAAAAATTTAATACATAAAAGCTTGACCCTATATTGCAATAAAAAAATAATGTCTTGACTTACATAATTATTATAATAAATGTATTTATAATTTATGACATTTGCAATTGGTATTACAATATTTCATATTATCGAGTTTTTAAAACAATTATGTAATTACTAATTATTAATAATTGCCGAATTTGTAAAAAAAAAATTAAAAACAGTTTTTATCATTATTTACGACACGAATTTTATCAAACAAACAGTAACAAATTAATGATCTTACACTGCTTATGAAACAATTTTAATATGTTGGAACCTATATCACTTTTTTATATCATCAAATATTATAAACAAACAAGTTTGGAGAAAACTTTCTTATTAATATTACTTCTTATTAATATTACTAAAATGTTTTTTAAGATTTTGCAACACCCACAATATCTTTCGTTGCTCACGAAATTGCAACTAATCCAGACGTTCAAGTGAAATTACGGCAGGAAATTGATCAAATATTAGAAGAATCGAATGGACAAGTGACTTTTGAAATTATTAATCAGTTTCAATACTTAGATGCAATAATAAAGGAAACTCTTAGATTATATCCAGCCATTATCTTAGAAAGAGTATGTGATGAGACTTATGAATTACCACCCGCGTTACCAGGCGAGAAGCCCTTCATTATGAAGAAAGGTATGACTGTTTGGATTCCGGCTTATGCGATCCATCATGATGCAAAGTATTATGATGATCCAGAAAAGTTTCGTCCTGAAAGATTTTTAGACAATAAGATGTATCACAACTCTCCATGCTATATACCGTTTGGATTAGGGCCGAGAATGTGTATAGCGAATAGATTTGCTATGCTAGAGGTAAAAGTCTTACTTTTTCATCTATTAGCACGATGTGAGCTAAAACCTTGTGTAAAAACAACAATGCCATTAAAATTCAGCAAAAAAACTTTAATGCTAAAGCCGGAAGGTGGATTTTGGTTAAATGTTCAACGCAGAAGCGATATGCATCCTGTGCTTTAATCAACAATCGTTGATTAATCAACGATTGTTGATTAAAGCACAGGATGCATATCGCTTCTGCGTTGAACATTTAACCAAAATCCACCTTCCGGCTTTAGCATTAAAGTTTTTTTGCTGAATTTTAATGGCATTGTTGTTTTTACACAAGGTTTTAGCTCACATCGTGCTAATAGATGAAAAAGTAAGACTTTTACCTCTAGCATAGCAAATCTATTCGCTATACACATTCTCGGCCCTAATCCAAACGGTATATAGCATGGAGAGTTGTGATACATCTTATTGTCTAAAAATCTTTCAGGACGAAACTTTTCTGGATCATCATAATACTTTGCATCATGATGGATCGCATAAGCCGGAATCCAAACAGTCATACCTTTCTTCATAATGAAGGGCTTCTCGCCTGGTAACGCGGGTGGTAATTCATAAGTCTCATCACATACTCTTTCTAAGATAATGGCTGGATATAATCTAAGAGTTTCCTTTATTATTGCATCTAAGTATTGAAACTGATTAATAATTTCAAAAGTCACTTGTCCATTCGATTCTTCTAATATTTGATCAATTTCCTGCCGTAATTTCACTTGAACGTCTGGATTAGTTGCAATTTCGTGAGCAACGAAAGATATTGTGGTTGAAGTAGTTTCAAGGCTAGCGAAGGAAAAAATAAATGCTTGCGCAGCCATGTCATCGATGTCAAGCTCTTTACGTTCTCTTTTACCTCTGATATCCATCATCAATTGGATCATATCCGGACGAATAATGTTTTCAGCATCACGTGTAGCGATAGTAGTTCTTATAATATCTTTAAAGAAATTCGATACGTGACTGCTTATAATTTTTACATTGAAAATTCGACCGAACGTTCGAAAAGTCAAAAGAAAAATAATTTTCATAATGGGGAAGTTGGTCGCTTCTTTCCCGTAAACATAAAACTTGTTCGTTGGATCCTTCATAGAATTGATCTTGATTCCAAAAGCACACGTAGCGATGACATCGTTCGTATATTTAGTGAAGACGTCTTTCATATTCATGTCGCTTTTTTTCTCCTGGTATCGATGTGGAAAGAAAATTAGCAAAATCCACAGCGCATTTCGACATCAAGGTAAACATCATTTTCATCTTGCTAGATGTAAAAGAGGGACTTAATAGAGTTCGCACATCCCGCCACTTTTGTCCATGAAGAAAAAGCAGATTATTCGCAAACAAGAGTTCGTTCAAAACCCTCAAACTGCGACGATTAGGAAATGCTTCGAAATTCTTCACAAGAATAGATTTAATTATTTCTGGATCGCGAAGTAGAAAAATCGGATTTGTCATGGCGTAGAATCCAAAGTATTTTGCGTCCGGATTGAAATTATATATCTTGCAAATAAAATCAGCCATATTCGGCGAAATATATATCCGATGTCATGTTGCCCAGTATTGGAACAGATGGTACGTGAATCACATCGTGTCTTTTGAAAAAATTGTAATTTCTAAACAGATAATGAATGCCAAGTGCATTAACCACGATTGATAACAATATCGATCAATATTCCATTGTTATTTCAAATTGTCGTTGCAATTTGTTTGCAAAATACCTGCTGAAATTTGATTTAACACACTAGCGAGATTGTTACTACGAATCGCTGCGGATAACTGTTAGTATGATAGTTTTATACCACCTAATATAATCTTACAAGGAAAGATCGACCTTGGGGACACCGGTTTGAATAAAATTTTAAGTGCGTAAAGTACTCGACTAAACAAGTTTTTGAGGAAAGTGAGAGGACGCTCAGCCGTTTTAAAAAAAAACCAAGTGAAAAATAGAGGCCGTATCTTGTAATACCAGTAAGTCTTGTAATACCAGTTTAGATTGATCGTGATGTAAGCGGCGTAGCTCGGGCAGTAAAGCCCGAGGCTATTATACTGCTGGTCACAGGTTCGATCCAGAACTGTGATAGTTTCTTATTTTTTTACGCGAAACCTACAATATTTTTTTAAATGAAAAAAATTAAATAAATAATTTAATTTTTTTGTTTTTATTTTATTTTTATTTTAGGAAAGCGTTGCGTCCTCTCACTTTCCTCAAAAACTTCTTTGGTCGAGTACTACACGCACTTAAAATTTTATTCAAATCGGTGTCCCCAAGATCGCGACCTCTCCTTGTCAGATCTTTCTGATGCAAGTGTTCTGCAACTGACATTATTTAAGAGTATTGATTGATAAAATTACTATAGAATTAAATGATTAAAATTTTGCAATGGATCATAAACATTTTCTTAGTCTACTAGTCTACTGGTGATATTAATATAATACTTACTTGATAATTAACATATGAGTACTACAAGATATAATTAAATATTGATATATTTTTGATGTCAAAATTGTACAATTTATTTATCTCTTTAAAATAATATTTTTATTTACATACAAATAATTATTTTCAATATAAAAATTATAATATGTTTTGCAATGGAATTAAATTTCTGTTGATGCTATTATATTATAGAATTAATTTTAAAGTTTAGAACACTCTCTATATGTTACAAATATGAGAGATTTATTTACAACAATCGAGAAAAAAAGAATTAGAAATGACAACAGGAGTAAAAAATACTCGTATATAAAAATTTTTTGTTTTATACAAATTATTTTACTTAAGATTACTTTATGTGTATGCGTGAGTGTTTCCTTTGTATGTATATATTTATCAAAAGAAAATGTATCAACATTACTAATTATTAACAGATATTTATTAAATATTAATAGATATTTTCCATATTTTCCTTGAATATATAAAAATAAGAAATATTACACAGTTTAATTATGTGAGATCTAAATACATATATCTTGTAAAATAGCACTATATAAAGACATTTCATTATTTTAGTTAACTTTAATTTTTTATGTGCATTTTTCTGTTAAATTCACTTCTTATCAATTCTTATCATCTGTTTGTTGATATTATTATGATATGCTAATATTAATCAATATTGAAATAACATATTGTGAATAATGATTGTACAGTTTTACATTAGTTATTATTATGTTATTCTAATAAAATTTTGTCACAAAATGTAACATCAAAGCATAAACACGTCAACTATTATTTGAATAAGGAATGTATGTGTGTGTGTGTGTGTGTGTGTGTGTGTGTGTGTGTGAACAAGATTATGTAATTATGTAATATGTATATGTTTCTATAAAATAAATGCTATTACTATAAATAAACAAATTTTTAATAATAAATTTCTTAACAGATTTTGAATTGTATATTTTAACAAACAATTCTTCAATTGCTTAATATATATGCAAGTCGAACATATCCCTTTCAACTGTGTTCGCATATAAATATATAAAATTCCTCATTGTTGGTACACAAGATATAATATAATATGTATAGAACGATATGTGCACATACAATTGACATTTAACAATTAAACTAAATAAAGTTTTAATATAAAATTCTAACAAACTAAACAATTATTCATTATTAATATTTATCCAAACAGATGTTTTTGCAAGTGTTTATAACACGAATTAACGAAAAAAAAACAAAACAAGAACAATTTTTTACAAATGCTAACAATATATTAAATAACCTGTAATGGCGCACAAAAGTTATATTATACTACGATGGCAATTGTATTATAAATATGTTATGATTATCATTAGTAATATAATATAATGATTTAGTAAAAAAATTTGTAATTTTTTAGAAATATTTTCTAAGAATTAATAATGCCTTTAATCAAAGTAGATTCAAAGACAGGATTCATATCGCTTCTACGCTGAACATTCAACCAAAATCCATTTTCCGGCGTCATTCTACTAGTTTTGCTGAATTTTATTGGAAACATAGTTTTCGCACAAGGTTTTAGCTCACATCGTGCTAATAGATGAAAAAGTAAGACTTTCACCTCTAGCATGGCAAATCTGTTGGCTATGCACATCCTCGGTCCTAATCCAAACGGCATATAGCATGGAGAGTTGTGATACATCTTACTGTCTAAAAATCTTTCAGGACGAAACTTTTCTGGATCATCATAATACTTTGCATCATGATGGATCGCATAAGCCGGAATCCAAACAGTCATACCTTTCTTCATAGTGAAAGGCTTCTCGTCTGGTAACGCGGGTGGTAATTCATAAGTCTCATCACATACTCTTTCTAAGATAATGGCTGGATATAATCTAAGAGTTTCCTTTATTATTGCATCTAAGTATTGAAACTGATTAATAATTTCAAAAGTCACTTGTCCATTCGATTCTTCTAATATTTGATCAATTTCCTGCCGTAATTTCACTTGAACGTCTGGATTAGTTGCAATTTCGTGAGCAACGAAAGATATTGTGGTTGAAGTAGTTTCAAGGCTAGCGAAGGAAAAAATAAATGCTTGCGCAGCCATGTCATCGATGTCAAGCTCTTTACGTTCTCTTTTACCTCTGATATCCATCATCAATTGGATCATATCCGGACGAATAATGTTTTCAGCATCACGTGTAGCGATAGTAGTTCTTATAATATCTTTAAAGAAATTCGATACGTGACTGCTTATAATTTTTACATTGAAAATTCGACCGAACGTTCGAAAAGTCAAAAGAAAAATAATTTTCATAATGGGGAAGTTGGTCGCTTCTTTCCCGTAAACATAAAACTTGTTCGTTGGATCCTTCATAGAATTGATCTTGATTCCAAAAGCACACGTAGCGATGACATCGTTCGTATATTTAGTGAAGACGTCTTTCATATTCATGTCGCTTTTTTTCTCCTGGTATCGATGTGGAAAGAAAATTAGCAAAATCCACAGCGCATTTCGACATCAAGGTAAACATCATTTTCATCTTGCTAGATGTAAAAGAGGGACTTAATAGAGTTCGCACATCCCGCCACTTTTGTCCATGAAGAAAAAGCAGATTATTCGCAAACAAGAGTTCGTTCAAAACCCTCAAACTGCGACGATTAGGAAATGCTTCGAAATTCTTCACAAGAATAGATTTAATTATTTCTGGATCGCGAAGTAGAAAAATCGGATTTGTCATGGCGTAGAATCC